CCATGTTCATGTTCATTTAAAAACATCTTTTACAAAATTGAATGTTTAAATTACGGAACACAGAAACTGTTTGCCTGGAGAATGTAGCTTTTGTGTGAATCTTAAAATCTGAGTCATGATGGCCCCCTTTGCTTTATGTTACTGGTGTCTGCTTGGCCTCTCCTGTGGTGATGGTAATAATCTTATTGTTTACAGAGCTATGCTGGACCAGGTACTCTGCATACACTGTCTCAATTGACTCAATCTTTTCTTCTCCGCAAGGTAGATATGACTCATTTTACAGTAGTAAACCAAAACCCAAAGAGGCTTACAAAAATTTCAGGTCCTTTAACAGTAAAGTGAGAAATTTTTGGCCACAGAAATTTCTGGCTCCAAAGCTTAAGCTCAGCACCAATAATTGGCTCTTTCTGGGTAGTAGGCTGTCCTGGGGCCCATCCATCATGTGAGACATCAGTAATTTGTATGAAGGTTTAGTTTTTATTATGAGATTTATAGTCATTGTTAACCAGGTGAACTCTCCTGCTGAGCCTCTGAGAACAGAATTCATCTTAGACCATCAAGACAAGCTGTACCGTTCAGTGAGCCACAGAAATGATCGGCATCCCAGCCATTGCCCCATCAGAAAATAATTGAGGGACTGAGGGAATGAGCTTCAGGGTTATTGGAGATGTACATACTAAGGAAGGCACAATCTGGGCCAGGGTCAGGGGCAATCCAGGCTTAGAGGCTGCTGTTCCAACCAGACAGAGCCTGTGGTTGAGGGAAGCCTGGCCGGCCCTGGAGGAGAAGCTCATGTGCACACATTGCTCAAGATGTTGTTCAGCCAGAAGTGTGAGCATAAGTTAGAAGCCCAAGACTGTCCTGCCACAGTGAGGCCACCTCTCAGTCCTCCACAGTGTCAGTGACCACTGCCTCTCCTCTCCTCACCTTTCTGAATGAACCATCTCCAGTCAGTGGCTAGAGCAGAATGAACAGGGGAGGGTCCATGGTAGGAAAAAGATCAAAGGGAAAATTTTGGAGGAGCCCCTAGATCAGGAGTCTAAGTCTTGTGGTTAGGCCACCATCAGGAATTCTGCTTGTATTCTGGCTAAGATGAGAATCTGTTGGACCTCATCCATCCTAAGGGTTCCTTGTTTTGAATTCAAGATCCTCCTGCCTCTAACTCCCTGTTGCTAGAATTACAGGCGTGTGTCAGCTCTGTCTTAAGCTTCATGTTAGCTTTCTGTCATCACTGGGACAAAATACCCGAGAAAAACAACTTAAACGGAGGAAAGGTTTGTTTTGGCTCAGTTTCAGAGGTTTCAGTCCAGGCTTTGTTGCTTTGGGGCAAGGTAGAACATTAAGACTGGGAGTGCATGGTAGATGTAGAGCAAAGCTAGGAGAAGAAGGCTGTTGTTGTTTGGGGGCTTTGGGGTGTTTTTTGTTTTGTTTTGTTTTTGGGGGGCATACTGGGGTTTTAACTCAGGGCCTCACACTTCATATTGCTAGGCAGGCACTCTACCACTTGAGCTACTCTGCCAGCTCTTTTTTGTGTTGGGTATTTTTGAGATAGGGTCTTTCAAACTGTTTGTCCAGGCTGGCTTCAAACAGCAGTCCTCCCAATCTTTGTCTCCTGAGTAGCTAGGATTACAGGCATGAGCCACTGGTGCCTGCTCTTTTGTTTTTTTAAAGACAGAGCCTCACTTTGTAGCCCAGGCTGGCATTGAACTCATGATACTCCTGCCTCAGCCTCTTAAGCACTGGGATTACAAATGTGAGCTACCATACACACTTTTAGGAGCAAAACTATTTACCTCCTGGCAGTGGGGAGGCAAAAAGAGAGAAAGGAGCCAGGCACTGGTGGCTCACACCTATAATCCTAGCTACTCAGTAGGCAGAGATCAGGAGGATCGTGTTCAAAACTAGCCCGGGATAATAGTTAGTGAGACCCTATCTCATAAAAACCCTTTACAAGAAAGGGCTGGTGGAGCGGCTCAAGGTGTAGGCCCAGAGTTCAAACCCCAGTACTGGAAAAAAAAAAAAAAAAGATGGGGGGTGGGGGCACTGGGCACTGGTGACTCATGCCTATAATCTGGCTAACTTCCATCCCCTAGGCCCTACCTTCCTAAAGGTTCCACCACTGCCCAATAGCACCAGGCTGGGGACTAAGCCTTAAACACCTGAGCCTTTGGGGACAAGATCCAAACTATAGCAAGTTTTAACAGAGTTACTGAGGATACTGTGTTGTGAAGAGACTGAGGGAGACCAAAGCAGAACCAAGAAGACCAATTGAGTGACCACTGCTCTAAGCCAAGCAATAAAAAACAACAGTGACTTGGATGAGGAGGGTGGTAGTAAGAACTAGTTAGATTCTGGATGTAGTTTTAAGACTTAAACCAATAGGATTTACTGAAATTGAAAGCAGGGCTAAGCATAGTGGTTGAACTCCTGTAATCCCAGCTATGTGGGAGGCATAGGTAGGAGGATCTCAGTCTGAGGCCAGCTCTATGCAAAAAGCACAAGACCCTATCTAAAACATAATTAAAGCAGCCAGGTACTGGTGGCTCACACCTATGAATCCTACCTACTCAGGAGGCAGAGAAGAGGAGGATCGAGTTTCAAGGCCAGACTGGGTAAATAGTTTTCAAGACTCTATCTCAGAAATACCCAACATAAAAATGGGCTGGCAGAGCGGTTCAAGTGGTAGAGCACCAGTCTAGCAAGCATGAAACCCTAAATTCAAATCCCAGTACCACCAAAGAAAAAAAGGGGAGAGAGGAGACTCCAGTGATTTTTGGATGGAGAAACAGATGGGTAAGACCTGAGGAAGGAGTCAAGAGCCTTATTTTGGATTCCACCTCCTTTGCCTTGAACATCTTTGGGAGTGATAATTGCGGAGTGCCTGGTCAGTTTTCCACATGCTTACAGGTCCCATGAAATCCCTCCAGTCCTGTGCCCAGGCATGCATCCATTACTTGAGGAATCCTGACTCTTGGTCCTTTCCTGCCCTGGTGCTTGTCCTCATGAAAAGGGCCCTCTCTGGATGCCCTTTTCCCCTTGTGCTCCTCAGAGCACCTCCCTTAACTTAACTCCAGTGTCACTCTGCTGTGAAGCTTCCTCTGATACTGTGGTCTGTATCCAGAGTTGCTGTGTTCCCACCAAACCTTGCTCTTGTTCCCTCAAGAAACCCATGACTTATTGAGCGAACTGGGGTAGGTCAGTGGGGTTTGAGTTGCACCATAGGCAGTGTCTGTAGAATTAGTAATGAAATACTGGGGTGTTTTCACCTTCCTCAGCTTACTATGACTTGTGAATTTGTTTGTGTCTAGTCCATACTGCTTCTTGGGCTTTCTAAGTTTTCTTTTGAAGGTATTAATGTAGATTTTAAATGAGTCACCCCAAGCTAGCAGGAGCAACCCAGGTGTTAGTGTCTTAATGACTGCTCATACCTTCACAAGCTTTCACCTTGAAACATGGTTGAGTGTTAATCCTTTCCATTTCCTCATGTGGAAGCCATGAAGCCCTCTGGCACTCTCTGGGGCTTTGTCTAGCTTTGTTTTGCTCTCTGAGTGCATTCCAACTGCAGCACACTCAGAGTGGGTATGAGGGCAACAAGGTTGTTTTCATTCCCTTGCCCTCCTATGGTCTTCTGACCACTCTAACTTGTTGGACCAATGTTTTCAGAGAACAATCTTTGGACTCTTGGATCTTTCTGGGTTTTGATTAGGATGTCAAACCTATCCTCTAGAACACAAGTTAGATTATCTCACCCCAAACTGATGATCTAATAAATGCATAATGATACATATCCATGACACATGTCCACCTCTCCAGCCCACTGTATTAGGGTTCTCAAGAGAAACACAACCAATAAGAGAGTGAGAGAGATACTGATTTCAGAAATTGACTCACACAATTTGTAGTAGTGACAAGTTCAAAGTCTGCAGGACAGATGGGTATGTTGGAAATTCTGACAAAAGTCTTTGTCGCAGTTTTGAGCTTGATGGCATTCTGGAGGCAGAATTCCCTCCTCTTTGGAAGACCTCTTTTTATTTTTTATTTTTTGGTGGTACTGGAGTTTGAACTAGGGTCTCACACTTGCTAGGCAGGTACTCTACCACTTGAACTACTCCACCAATGTATTTTTGTGATGGGTATTTTTGAGATAGGGTCTTGCGAACTGTTTGCCTGCTGGCTTTGAACCACAGTTCTCCTGATCTCTGCCTCATGAGTAGCTAGGATTACAGGTGTGAGAGAAACAAGGACCAACAAGGACCTCAGGTTTTTAATACATTCAACTGATTGATTGCATGAATCCTATCTACATAATGGAAAATAATCTGCTTTACTCAGAGTCTACTGACTTAAATGCTAATCACATTAAAAAATATCATCACAGCAACATCAAGACTGGTGTTTGATGGGCCCCATAGTAGAGTTGAGTTGATTCGTGAAATTGACCATCATCATGTACCCTCTTTTTCACTCCCCAGGTCTGGGTTGTGGTCTTCTGTCTTGACTTTGTTCATTTCCCTTAAGTACTTCCTCCTCAGGCTGGGGGTATGTCTTAGCATTCATGAGGATCTGGGTTCAGTCCCTAGCACGTGCGCGCACACACACACACACACAGAGAGCCCTATTCCTCTTTACCCATCCCACAACTTTCTGTAGTTCAGTTACTGAGGCCATTTCCAGTCTTTGCTGAGTTATCCTTTCTCTTGTCCCATTCTGGTCCCATAGGAGACTTTCCGGGCCTATCTGCCTTGGAGAAATTTCTTCCCTGGGCCATCTGCCTTGGAAAAGTTTTTTTCCAAGTTTTGAATTCAGAAAGCCCTGAATTCAAGCCCCAATTCTGCAAAGCAGGCACTTTACTGCTTAAACTATGCTTCCAGCCCCTTTTGTTCTGTTTATTTTGGAAACAGGGTCTCTTTTTGCCCATGTTGGCCTGGACCACAATCCTTGGAGAATTTTTTCTTTTTTCTGCAGTGAACTTTGATATTTCCCATTGTGTCTTATTCTAGGTATTGGAAAGAACGTGGTGTGTGAGAAGGCAGCAACATCAGTGGATGCTTTCCGGATGGTGACAGCCTCTCGCTACTACCCGCAGCTGATGAGCCTGGTGGGGAATGTTCTGCGCTTCCTGCCTGCCTTTGTGCGCATGAAGCAGCTGATTGCAGAGCACTACGTGGGTGCAGTGATGATCTGTGACGCCCGCATCTACTCAGGCAGCCTGCTCAGCCCCAGCTACGGCTGGATCTGTGATGAGCTCATGGGTGGCGGGGGCCTACACACCATGGGCACCTATATTGTGGATCTGTTGACCCACCTGACTGGCCGGAGAGCTGAGAAGGTGCATGGGCTGCTCAAGACCTTTGTGAGGCAGAATGCTGCCATCTGTGGCATCCGGCATGTCACTAGTGATGACTTCTGTTTTTTCCAGATGCTCATGGGTGGAGGGGTGTGCAGTACAGTGACACTCAACTTCAACATGCCAGGTGCCTTTGTGCATGAAGTCATGGTGGTAGGTTCTGCGGGACGCCTTGTCGCCCGAGGAGCTGACCTCTATGGGCAGAAGAACTCTGCCCCACAGGAGGAGCTGCTAGTGAGGGACTCACTGGCTGTAGGTGCAGGGCTGCCTGAGCAGGGGCATCAGGATGTCCCACTGCTCTACCTGAAAGGCATGGTCTACATGGTACAGGCCTTGCGCCAGTCCTTCCAGGGGCAGGGGGACCGCCGCACGTGGGACCGCACCCCTGTCTCCATGGCTGCCTCATTTGAGGATGGGCTATACATGCAGAGTGTAGTGGATGCAATCAAAAGGTCAAGCCGATCTGGGGAGTGGGAGACTGTGGAAGTGCTGACTGAGGAGCCTGATGCCAACCAAAACCTGTGTGAGGCGCTTCAGCGGAATAACCTATAAGCCTGCACATGGGCTCCCTGCCATAGGGCAGAGGGACCAGGGAAGGGACCAAGAGCCACGATGAGGGGCTTGGCTGTAGCAGGGACAGTCTTTCATTTAATAAATCAGCTTGGGATAGGGCTGGGAGAAGACTGAAGGTGGCCCAAGGGAAAAGTCCCATCCATCACTCATCTTGCAGGGCTACAAACACTTCTGTCTCAGCTCAGGCCAGCACAGCATGTGTAGGGGGAACCTGCTGCGGTCGTCCTCTTCATGGTTCCACTAATGAGCAAGGCCAGTGAAAGCTAGACTTGTGGGCTCTAATTTATGGTCTGACAGGATAAGAAAGCCCAACAAGGAGCCAGCCTGGTTGAAGCCTGAGGAGATATGAAGAAGCCTTGTTTCCTTGTCCTTCCTGGGCTAGGACATCTCAGGAACTGTGATGGCAACAAGTCATCCCTCAGGGATCCTCACCTGCCTTCACATGTGACCAGGCCCTTCTGGCCCCTAGACCAACCCTTCCTGAAGAGAGGCTTCTGTATTAGATGAGTTCTCAGGGACATCTGACCTAGGAAAGAGGGACCCTGACTTGGCAGAGGAGAGACAGGAGAGCTGTAGAACATCTGATAACTGTCAATAAATCAGAAAATGTGACATTGAGGTGTGTGGTTGTTTGTTTGGTGGTTGGGTTTCTTTAATAACAGAAGGCTTATTTATTGCTGTAGATTGTTTCTTAAGAGGACAGGACACAAGGCTTCCTAATGAGCTGCTGTTGGGCCTGCCATTTCAGGCAGATAGGGCAAGAACCTGCGTCCTCTTACGCTGGAGGTGAAAAGGGTTCTGTTCTTGAAACCACTGTGTGCTCCAGGAGAGCCCTTGGAGGAGGGAGGATCTTGAGAAGGAAGGGCCCCATGCCACCCCTTGGAGCAGGTTCGGCTGGCACTGCCTGACCCAGCCAGCCAGCCACCAGCCATGCTTAACTAACTATGTTGCAGACAGGAGCAGGCCAGAGGTGGGTGGGGTGTTGAGAAAGGATACATCTGTGCCTTTGTTTCCTTTGCCAGCCTGCTGGATTGTGAAGCCTGGATGAACTCTATTCCCTTTTTCAACCTTCCTCCCTCTTCCTGCCCTGGGCTTTTTGCCAGAAAAGCCCAGTGAAGGCTTCCTCTTACTCTTGGCACCCCTCATAAAAGTCACCAGGCCTGTTTTTCTGTTGTATCCTGGATCCAAGCGTTATCCTTGTGAGGTGAAATAACAAGAATTAGTGTTGGAGTATGTTGATGGCATGCTTAGGCCCCTCAGTGTAAACACTGCATGTATATTATTTCATTTAATCTTCAAACACTCTGTAAAGGCATTATTTAGATCAGAAAATGGAAACACAGAGGGCAAAGTTACCTGCCTCCTGTGGGTTGTAAGTGATGGAGCCATAAGCCTGATCAGCACCATCTGACTATAGCTCCTGAGCCTAAACTATTCTTTTTTTTTTTTTTTTTGCATTTCTTTTTTTTTTTCCTTTTTCTTTTATTATTCATATGTGCATACAAGGCTTGGTTCATTTCTCCCCCCTGCCCCCACCCCCTCCCTTACCACCCACTCCGCCCCCTCCCTCTCCCCCCCCAATACCCAGCAGAAACTATTTTGCCCTTATTTCTAATTTTGTTGTAGAGAGAGTATAAGCAATAATAGGAAGGAACAAGGGTTTTTGCTGGTTGAGATAAGGACAGCTATACAGGGAGTTGACTCACATTGATTTCCTGTGCGTGGGTGTTACCTTCTAGGTTAATTCTTTTTGATCTCACCTTTTCTCTAGTTCCTGGTCCCCTTCTCCTATTGGCCTCAGTTGCTTTTAAGGTATCTGCTTTAGTTTCTCTGTGTTGAGGGCAACAAATGCTAGCTAGTTTTTTAGGTGTCTTACCTATCCTCACCCCTCCCTTGTGTGCTCTTGTTTTTATCATGTGCTTAAGGTCCAATCCCCTTGTTGTGTTTGCCCTTGATCTAATGTCCACATTTGAGGGAGAACATACGATTTTTGGTCTTTTGGGCCAGGCTAACCTCACTCAGAATGATGTTCTCCAATTCCATCCATTTACCAGCAAATGATAACATTTCGTTCTTCTTCATGGCTGCATAAAATTCCATTGTGTATAGATACCACATTTTCTTAATCCATTCGTCAATGGTGGGGCATCTTGGCTGTTTCCATAACTTGGCTATTGTGAATAGTGCCGCAATAAACATGGGTGTGCAGGTGCCTCTGGAGTAACCTGTGTCACAGTCTTTTGGGTATATCCCCAAGAGTGGTATTGCTGGATCAAATGGTAGATCGATGTCTAGCTTTTTAAGTAGTCTCCAAATTTTTTTCCAGAGTGGTTGTCCTAGTCTATGTTCCCACCAACAGTGTAAGAGGGTTCCTTTTTCCCCACATCCTCGCCAACACCTGTTGGTGGTGGTGTTGCTGATGATGGCTATTCTAACAGGGGTGAGGTGGAATCTTAGCATGGTTTTAATTTGCATTTCCTTTATTGCTAGAGATGGTGAGCATTTTTTCATGTGTTTTCTGGCCATTTGAATTTCTTCTTTTGAGAAAGTTCTGTTTAGTTCATTTGCCCATTTCTTTATTGGTTCATTAGTTTTGGGAGAATTTAGTTTTTTAAGTTCCCTATATATTCTGGTTATCAGTCCTTTGTCTGATGTATAGTTGGCAAGTATTTTCTCCCACTCTGTGGTGTTCTCTTCAGTTTAGAAACCATTTCTTTTGATGAACAGAAGCTTTTTAGCTTTATGAGGTCCCATTTATCTATGCTATCTCTTAGTTGCTGTGCTGCTGGGGTTTCATTGAGAAAGTTCTTACCTATACCTACTAACTCCAGAGTATTTCCTACTCTTTCCTGTATCAACTTAAGAGTTTGGGGTCTGATATTAAGATCCTTGATCCATTTTGAGTTAATCTTGGTATAGGGTGATATACATGGATCTAGTTTCAGTTTTTTGCAGACTGCTAACCAGTTTTCCCAGCAGTTTTTGTTGAAGAGGCTGCTATTTCTCCATCGTATATTTTTAGCTCCTTTGTCAAAGATAAGTTGCATATAGTTGTGTGGCTTCATATCTGGGTCTTCTATTCTGTTCCACTGGTCTTCATGTCTGTTTTTGTGCCAGTACCATGCTGTTTTTATTGTTATTGCTTTGTAATATAGTTTGAAGTCAGGTATTGTGACACCTCCTGCATTGTTCTTTTGACTGAGTATTGCCTTGGCTATTCGTGGCCTCTTGTGTTTCCATATAAATTTAACAGTAGATTTTTCAATCTCTTTAATGAATGTCATTGGAATTTTGATGGGAATTGCATTAAACATGTAGATTACTTTGGGGAGTATCGACATTTTTACTATGTTGATTCTACCAATCCATGAGCATGGGAGATCTCTCCACTTTCTATAGTCTTCCTCAATCTCTTTCTTCAGAAGTGTATAGTTTTCCTTGTAGAGGTCTTTCACATCTTTTGTTAGGTTTACACCTAGGTATTTGATTTTTTTTGAGGCTATTGTAAATGGAATTGTTTTCATACATTCTTTTTCCGGCCTAAACTATTCTTAACTCAGCACTTGAGACTCTTTTTCTCAGAGAAGAATCTCTGAGAGTCCTGCAGCAGGAATCTTAGCTTGACCTCAGCTAGGAGGGCAACTGCAGAGAGGCCACCCTCAGGCAGGATGCTGACAGTTAAAGGAGAGGCTGCCTCTTGTCCCTGGGTTGATTGGCTCCACTTCAGTCCCTCTGTTTTACTAGGATGCCAAAGTCCCTCCTAAGTTTGAGAATGACCAAGGAAACAAGATGCTCCTGCACAAAAAAGGGCCTTCATGCTGACCCAGAGTTGTACTTAGATTTTAAAAGACAGAGACAGATCCCCAAAATGCTGGAATAAATTGCAGTGGGCCTAGTGCAGAACTATTGTGAGGACCGTAAGTCTTCTGAGGGCAGCTCCCAGATGTAGGTTTATCATCCCATCCCAGTGACATCTTTCCATCATGTATCTTTCAGGCATCAGACTCCATAGTGCTGTGGTGGGAATTAGGAGAGTTGGGCCTTGAAGTGGCCCAGATGCCTGTGGCCAAGATAACTCAAGAAGTGACTGAGCCCAGAACTGGTTCCAGGCTTGTCCTGCAGTGCCCCCTCCTGGAAGAAGGCAGCAGCATCTCCCAGGACTTGTTTCCCAAATTCCAGGTCAGAGTTAACTTTCTGGGTCTGTGAAAATACTGTTAACTTTTCCTCTTTGATACAGCAACCAGAAGAGAACTTCTAAAAATACTTTTGTCACCAGCCACCAAGCAAATCTACGCCTTGTACTCACCTAGACGTGGCAAAACACCTCCTTATCTCTCTGTCCCATCTCTCCTTTCCCTGTTCTGCCTCACATAGTGCTGCCCATATAACCTCTCCACAGTCCTAGGCCAAGACTGCTGCTTGTCTTTGTCATCTTTATTACCCCCAGACTTGCTGGCCTGGGCCCTGATGGAGGCTCTCTGCTTCAGCCACACTGAGCAGCCTTCCTGGGTGGGGCTGGCATCTTCCACACCATCAGGACTTTGTCCCTGGCTTATCTTTGGCTTGAAGGCACCAGCTTTCTCCTTCAGGAATAGCCGGAGGGCTGTCTGGGCACCATCACTTCTCCCCTAAGTGAAGTGGCAGTAACTCCACCACTTGTGATCATCCTACATGTCCTTTTGAATCATGCTGTCTCAGAATTCCCCCTTTCGTGTTGGTTTCTAGGAGCAGCAGTGACTTATTGTTCCTTTGTGTGGCTCCTGTCATCCATCCTGCTTAAACAAGTCCACAGGGTAGCAAGCCTCAGGAATTGTCTGATCATTTCCTGCTTTATCTGTGAGGAGATTAGAAGCAGAGCTTTCTTCTTGGTACTGGCCTTGCCCACACCTCCAGTCCCTGAGGCTACCTAGAGAGAGGACATACTCAGCCTTCTTGAGTCAGGCCTTAGTGGAACTCAGGGAGAGTGGGACCTCCAGGATTCCAGGGTGTGGTCTATTACAAGGCCACTTCTCTATAGTCTTCTGCTTCCTTGGCTATAAGTGAGGTGAAACTCCATTATAAAACTCTAAATCATCCTGAAAACAATCATTGCTCATCTTTATGAACAAAATTTGGTTTGCATGGTCCCTGTGGACAGTATGGACTGAAGAAGTCAAATCACTACCCAAGGAAGTCTGTAGGCAAAAAAGAAGAAATGTCCTGACCCTTGGCTTGCCCATGAACTTGTCTTAGGTCAGTGAGCATCCAAGTGTACTCTCAAAGGAGGGAGCAGCAGCTGGGCACCTATCTCAAAAATACCCAACACAAAAAAGGGCTGGCAGAGTGGCACCTGCTAGCAAATGTGAGACCCTGAGCTCAAACCCCAGTACAAAAAAAATAAGAGGGAACAACCTGGGATGATATCAGGAAAGGAACCATTGCCCATCCTAATACTTTTCCAGCTTGCTTCCTCTAATGACCATACCAGGTCATTATTGCAGGGGCCCTGCACATGGTTGTAGACTATAGATGGCTTCAGCTGATCACATTTGAACCTGTCCTCTCTTCAGCCTCCTCTACCCCCTTACCTTGGTTTTTCTATCTTGGTGCCTTTTATGGAGGCCCTCTGTTAGATAGATATGATCCAGTGATGTGTGCCTCCAGTGGTGGTTCACATTCTAATCATGAAGACAGTTACAACCCACAGTGGTAGTAGAATGCAGATGCTACAATGCAAGGCAATACCGGGTGCTTCCTGGCTCAGCAGGAAGAGCTGAGTGAAGGTACATGCATACCAGTCAGGAAGAGGGGTGAGGGAAGAAAGGCATTTTAGGCAGGGAAAGGCAGAGAGAAGGTAAGAAAAGTTGTGGCTGGTTAGGGAGTCACAGTAGCCACTGGAAATTTCCAAGACAACTGAGCAAAAGACGCAAAGAGACAGTGATACCATCAGGGTACAGGTGTGTTTGTGACAGGGTCATTGTGTGGATCACAGGTAGGAAGACTCATGAGACTCCCACCTGGAGATGACTGGTGCTGAGTGTAGGGTCTGAAAAGGTAGATTCACTGGCCTTGATGCCTGATTCACTTGTAGGAGTCAGCAAAGGACAGGATGGGGCCTAAGGTGACACTCAGGATTTTGGCTTGATGATATACAGGAAAAGCAGGTTGGAGGAAGGAGAAATTATCCATTTAACTTGGAATACCTTATGCTTGAAGTGTCTGAGAAACACACAGAAAGACCAGGAGGCTTGTGTCCACAACAGCCAGCACTGACTGGCTCTTCTTCCCAGAAAGCAATCATCCAGTGGCTTGGTCACTGAGTTCCAGGTACATTCACTGCCAATACACACACACACCTCCCAAGAAAAAAGCACTAATACCTTGTCACCAGAAGCCAATCCATGGGCAAGGTCTGGTCTAGCTGTGGTGTGGCAATGAAAGGAAAATATTCCCAAACTGCTGCTCTTGGGGCAGCGAAATGAACTTTGCTACCTCATATAGGGAGGCAAGTGTTGGTCCACTTGAGGTCAGGCCAAATATAGGCCCTTCTCTGGGAGGCATGGAGCCAGCCAAGCACTTCCTTCCCATGGATCTTTTCTCTGCCCCAAGTTCTTCCTCATCAACCTCAGGCCATCTTGACCCTCAGATTCATCTGGTGAGACAATACACAGCCAGGCCCCACACCTGCCTCACTACCACTTCTGACAGGACTGAGATGGTGCCCAGGAATCTGTCAGTCAAGGTCCCCAGCTGATGCAGATGATCAGTCAGGTGCAAAACTTGCACAGGTGAATTTTCTACCCTTCTTCCCAGCCTAAACATCATATTTGAGAAATCAGTCTTAGGAAAAAATGTTTATTTTCAGTGAGCCCAAGTTCCCAAGTGGAGGCAGGGGCCAAATTCCCTTCTCCACCTAATGGCCTGGTCCAACAGGCTACAGCCCTGGTTCAGGCATGGGAGGAGGCTCCAAAGGCAGACGGTCACTTGTACTGAGGGGAGAGTGGAGGCACCAGGGGAGCAGTGCAGACACTCAGCATCTTGTCAATGTCCACCTGGGTTGACTTATCCATCTCAGCCTTGAAGCTGCCACTCACCCTCAGGCTGGAAAAAAACCCAGCCTCCTCTCCAGCCTCCTCTCCCAGGGAGGAAGCAAGAGCATGGGTGGGGGTCACTAACACACTGGGGCACTGCAAAGTGAGGCCTAAGCCCAGCTCACCTGCCATGGGCAGCAAGGCCTGTAGCTGCTCCACCCCTGCCTCTTCAGGAACCAGGGCCATCTCTGACTCAGGCTCCATCTCTGCCTCCCTGTCCTCCTCCTCTGCCAGGTTCAACTCAGGGTTGCAATAGTTGATGTATTGGTAGAGTGGCCGCAGGCGATGGGTCTTTCCTGCAAAAACCCGGGGCAGGACAAGGGCTGGAACACCAGGCTGTGCTTTGTCAGATCCAGCAAGCAGGGGAAGAAGGGAAGGCCCAGGGACTGCTACTCACACTCCAGCCCCAATGTTTCTGGGGGTGTAGATGCTGTGCTGGCCACAGCTGGGACCATAGGAGCCCCCAGACTCTTTCGCTTCTTGGCTTTTTTGTGCTGTTTGGCAGATGGTGAAGGCTCACTCTGGCTGCCCTCTGGCTCCTCCCTCTGCATCAGCAAACCTGGTGGTAGCTCAGCTTCGGTCCTAGGATGGGCATGGTGGCTAAGCCCTGGGAGGCCTGAGGAGACAGCTTTCAGCTTCTGGCTCCTATGTCTTGAGCCTAGAGAGCAGCCCTGCCTGCCCACCGCCCTAGGTCTACATAGCTGGTCCTTTCCTGGCCAATGAAGCCCCAGGCCCAATAGGATCTCAGCACTCCTGTGAGCTCAGACCCTTACAAGACCTGGAAGCTCTGTCTCTTGGTGCTTCCTATGCCAGGCCTCTTGAGAAACAGGATTGGAGGGCAAGAATCTGCCCTGCAAGAGTGCAGGATTTAGAAATTCTGGGGTGAAAAGCCCACCTCCCTGCCCTGCAATTCTTTCCCTCTGAAGGTCCCCCTCACTTGAAGGGCTTCCTCTTTGGTCTCTGGCTGGGCCTCACAATGAAGGCCATAGGTCTGGGGCCTCTCTCCTCTCGTGCCTCCACTTCTGGATCCAGCCCCTCTTCTTCCAGCTTGGGTCCTTCCTCCTGAAGCTCTGGCTCATAGCTACATCCATTTGGACACTCGTCTTGACCCGGGGTCCTGCAGGCCTCATGTCCTGGCACCAGGCACTGGTCTCCCAACACTGGACGCTATAGGTGATACATAGGTAATTAGTAACCATGGATGACAAGGATGTTGGAAACAGTCATTCAACACCCAACCTAAGCCACCAAACATGATAAAGAGCACCAGCCCAGGCCCCTCCCTCCTTGTAGGGCCTGGCTTGGCAGTTAGGGGGTTGGATCACTGGGGTTTGGCCCCCAGAGCGGCCCCTGCCAACTGTTTGAAGGCTCAAGCCTGAGTCACCTCAGGGCTCTTAACCACCTGAGCCAGCCCCAGAGCTGCTCCCTTCTGGGCCCCTGGCTGCCTCTCTGCGCCTGCTGATGCCATGGCTGTGCGGGATCAGCGCATCCTTCAACGGTTGCTGAAAGAGGCGGGCTGGCCCCCGAGGGCTGTCCTGTGTGGACCCTGCGTTGACGGCGGGGAGTGGCCTAGAAGGCAAGGGCCCAGCTGGAAAGGAGACTGGTGGTTGCTCCGCCCACCCTTAGAACTACAAGCCCCAGAAGGCTTTTCGCCAGGGTCACCAACCCCTGACCTCAGGGACGGAAGCCATTTGTTGCCTGGCAACAACAACTCCCGTCGAGTTGCAGCAGCTGGCGGCAAAATTGCTCTAGTGAGGGTCCCTGCTGGGGCGTTGCGGGGGATGGGCTGCGAACCCGGCAGGGAAGTGGGCTAGGATCATGGTCGCGCAGGCGGTGGGCACAGGCCAGGTCTAGGGACCGGTTCTGAGACGGGGAGGGAGCCGGGAATGGGGTTGCACGGCCGGGCTGCAAGGTCCGGGTGGAGGATGGACACGTGGGACAGGAGAGATGGGTCCGGAGGGGAGATGCGCAGCAGGCCTCGGTGCACCGTTGCAGGGTGGTGACGGCGGCATGTGCGAGGGCCCGTCCAGCATCTCGGGGCCCATACCCCCAGACCCTACTCTCTGCCGTGACTACTATCGGAGGCCAGCCTCGGGTGAGTTGGGGAGTGCCGCGGCGGGGCAGGGACCCTGCTCCACCGCTGAGCCCCGCACTCCACCCGGTTTTGCCCTCCTTGTTCTGCCCCTTAGCTCAAGGGCGGCTTGAGGGAAACGGGCTGAAGCTGAACCTGCTGACTTCGGACAGCGACCTACAAGCCACCCCTCCTCGTGGACCCCGCATCAGGCCCGGAGGCCGAGAGATCCTGGAGCGTGGCCAGCGTGGCGTGGGGGACGTGCTGCTGCAACTAGGGGGCATCACCCTCAGTCCAGGGATCTCTCCCAAGAGTAAGTCCCTGCCAGAAGGGGTAGCGAGGCAGTCAGAGGTCAAAAACCGAGATCAAAAGTGGTTGTTCCTTCTTTTCTGCCCTGAGCCCAGGTTATACCTCTGTGGATCTCAGTTTTCCCCAATATACCTCCTCTCAGGAGCAGACTGAATGATGTAGAGCCCTAGCTTTACGCCCTAGCTTTATGCGTCAGTGAAGCGTTATTGCCTACCGTGTAGGAAGCCCTATGGATGCTAGAAAACAGAGTTAAAGACAAGCATGGACCATCATCCAGTCAAGGTGGGAGGTGGGAGGCAATAAACACGTGAAGAGACGAGTATAATATAAATGATAATTAATAGTGTACTTCACTATAAAAATGAAGAAAATAATCGAGAGATACTATGTAAGGAAGGGAACAAGTTGATGTGATAGTGTGATAAGAGTGTGTACATAGAATGTAACTTAGATGGAACAGTCAGGGAGATCTTTTCTTTTTCTTTTTCTTTTTGTGATGCTAGGGATTGAACACACAGTCTCATTTGGCAAGTGCTCTACCACTGAGCTCTACAATCCAGACCTTCAGAGAGATCTATCTGCATGGGGCAGGGTGTGAGCCTGTGTGTGATCTAGTGTATGCTGTTACCTAGGCTACATGTAGAGCAGAGCCTGGCAGCATCTTTTTCTCAGGGAAGGACCCTAAAGACCATGAGAAGGAAAACCTGAGGCGGATCAAAGAGATCCAGAGAAGGTTCCGAGAGCAGGAGCATAGCCGGGAGCAGGGCCAACCCAGGCCCCTGAAGGCACTGTGGCGCTCACCCAAGTATGACAAGGTGGAGTCCCGAGTCAAGATCCAGATGCAGGTACCTGTCTTAAGGACCCAGAAGTATTGTCCATTGTGGCCATTAGGAAATTATACCCTGATCTGATTTATGGGGAAGAAGAAAATCACAGGAGACAGGTAACAAAGAACTAAGAGACACCTGGCTTTGCTGCAGAGGGTCGTGAGGGCCCTCTTAGAAGTGGTGATGGCTGGGCTGATCCTAAGGGATAAGTAGGAATTAAGCAAGGGGAGAGTGGATGAGAACATTTCATAGAGATGGACCTTACAGGTATAAATTCTTCTTTTCCCTCTTCCCCCATACTGGAAGTTGAATTTAGGTCCTCTACCACTTGAGCCACTCTGTCAGCCCTTTTTATGTTGGTTATTATTTATTTATTTATTTATTGCAGTACTGGGGTTTGAATTTAGGGCCTCATGCTTTGCGAGGCAAGCGCTCTACCATTTAAGCCACTTAGCCAGTCCTGTGTTGGTTATTTTTCAGATACCGTCTACTTTATGCGCAGGCTGAACCCAGTCCTCCTATTTGTGCTTGCCCAAGTAGCTGGGCATGACAGGCATATGCCACCATACCCAGTCATTGGCTGAGATGGGATCTTATGAACTTTTTGCCAAGGCTGACCTTGAACCTTGAGCCTCCTAAGTGGCTTGAGTCACTGTGCCCAGCCTCTCACAGGTAGAAGTTCTGAGACCAGAACAAGTGTGAGTAGTAAGCATACTAGGTGTATTTCACTGTGAGGGAGGAAAATCATGAGGTTAGGCCAAGAAGTTAATTGTATTCACACCTGAGAGGACAAGCTAAGACACTTGTCAACTTCCCTTTATTTTTATTTTTTATTTGTGGTGCTAAGGACTGAACCCAGGGCTTCATGCACAATAAGCGCACTGCCATTCAGCTATACTTCAAGCCCTTGAGCATTTCTTTTTTTCTCTCTCTCTTTTTGTTTTTCTTCTTCTTCATTGTTTTGTGTGGGTAGTGGTACTGAAGTTTGAATTCAGGGCCTTATGCTTGGTAGGCAGGTACTCTACCACTTGAGCCACACCTCTACCACTTTTAGGTATTTTTCAAATAAAGTTTTGCATTTATGCCTTGGCCAGCCTGGATCTCAATCTTTCTATTTACCTTTCCAGTAACTGGGATAACAGCGGCACACCAAGCCCAGCTTTTATTGATTGAGATGGGGGTCTCACTAACTTTTTGCCAGTGTTGATCTTGAACTGAGATCTTCTTTATCTCCACTTCCTGAGAAGCTGGGATTCTAGGCATGAGCCACCTCATCTGAACTTTTTTTTTCTTCCCCCCTACCCTTTTTTTCTTTTTTGTAGTAGTATTGGGGTTGGAATTCAGGGCCTCATGCTTACTAGACAGGTACTCTACCATTTGAGCCACTCTGCTATCCAGTCCTTTTTTGCGTTGGGTAGTTTTGACATAGGGTCTCACCTTTTTTTTTTTAGCCCAGGTTGGCCTCAAACTGAGATCCTCCTGATCTCTACCTCTCAAGTAGCTAGGGTTACAGGTGTGAGTCACCAGTGCCTGACTCTTTAGACCTTTTTTTTTTTTTTTTTTTTGCGGTACTAGGTTTTGAACTCAGGGCTTCAGCGCTTGCTAGGCAGGTGCTCTACCACTTGAGCCACAGCCTCCATCCTTCCCTACATTTTTTTGATGCTTTTTTGAGACAAGGTCTCATTATGTAGCCCAGGCTGGTCTCAAACTTGACATCCTCTTGCCTCAGTCTCCTGAATGCTGGGCAAGTACCATCATGTCCAGCTGGGATTACAAGCCCAGCTGGTGTGTACCATCATGTCTAGCATCCTTCCTTTCCTTCCTCCCTTCCTCTCTCTCTCCCACCCTTCTTTCCTTCCTTCCTCCCTTACTTCCTTCCATTGCGCTTGCTAGGCAGGCACTGTACAACTTGAGCCATGCACCCAGTCCTCCTGCCCAACATTTATTTCTGAGGATAATAAGGAGGACAGGGGTAAGGGTATGGTAGTGGTCTGTTTTAGGTAGATGCCATTCTACTATTCAGGGACTCAGAAAGAGGAGCAGGGTTGAGAAAAAAGACAAGGTCACATGAGGCTGTATTGAGGCCATAGCATCTGTGGAACTCCCAGGGGGTGGGAATGTGTCCAGTAACCAGATGGATACTTAGATCTGGATCTCAAACGTGAGACCAAGGAGTTATTGATGAGCAGGTTGCGGACAATGAGACCCAGGAGGCAGCCTGCTGGATTTGAGGGCTTGGAGACCAGTCCTCAGTGACCTTGGGGCGTTATAGCCAGGAAGCTTGACCAGGAAGAAGAAAGCAGTGGTAGCTGGACCAAGATTGAGGCTGTAGGGTAGGGAGGTGGTTTGTGTTCTTTTTCTTTCTTTCTTTTTTGGTGGGACTGGGGTTTGAACTCAGGGCTTCAAGCCTGCAGAGTAGATGCTGTAATGCTTGAGCCACAACTCCAGTTCATTTTGCTCTGGTTATTTCAGAGATGGGGTCTCTCCAACTATTCGTCTGGACTGTGATCCTTCTGATCTCAGCCTCCCAAGTAGCTAGGATTACTGGCATAACCATCATTGCCTAGCACATTAGTTATTTTTGAGATGGGGTCTTGCTTTATGCCTGAGCCAGCGTGTACCATGATCTTATTGGTGCTTCTCCACTTAGCTGGTGATGACAGGTGCATACCACCATACCCAGCCATTTGTGGAGATGGGGTCTCTCAGACTTTTTTCCTGGGCTGGCCTTGAACTAATCTATGCTTTTGGAGTAGCTAGAATTGCCTGGTGGTTTGTTTTCTTCAAGATGTGAAAGAAATTCATGTTTAAATGCTGATGAGGAGTGTTTCTTCAAGAGGGAGGAAGCCCACAGGGGTGAGAATAGAAAAGCAGGAGAGACAGAGGCATGGTTTTGTGGCCTGACTGATTCCTCTACTGTGCCCTACCCTCCAGGAGCCTGGCCCTACCTCTGTAACAGAGCCTACCCACTTCCTGAGGGCACACTCTCGCTGTGGCCCTGGGCTCCCACCACCCCGTGTCCCCAGTCCCCAGCTCACCCCACCAGGTTCCAAATCTAAGGTGAGAGGATGTTTAGGGGCTAGAAGGTGGTTGGGCAGGGATCCTGGGAGTGAGGTGGGGGCAGGGGCACAACAGAGTGCTATTGGACCCCCTCCATGCTTGCCATGTCCTACAGGGGCCAAGTCTGGGTGTAGATTTCATTAGCCACAATGCCCGAGCTGCCAAGAGGGCCCCCCGGCGCCATTCCCGCTCACTGCAGGTCCTGGCACAGGTTCTAGAACAGCAGCGACAAGCCCAAGAACACTACAACACCACGCAGAAGGGCCATGTGCCCCAGTAGTAGGTCCCACTGCCTGATTCCCAGGGTGAGGGGTGCCTATGTTGGATGGGAGCCAGTCTTTGCCTTAGTGTTATCAACCCTGGGACTATGCATCTACAGCTTATTAGAGCGCAGGGATCTGTGGCGGCGGGAGGCCGAGGCCCGTCAGCATAACCAGCCAGACCCTGCCATGCCCCCTGGCCATACTCGCATGCCTGAGAACCAGAGGCTGGAGACACTGAACAATCTGCTCCAGAGTGAGTACTTGGGCAGTGATGGCTGGAAGGGAGCCCACTGGGGACTATGAACCCCTGTCCAGCACTCACTATTCCTGTAGGCCAGAGTCAGCTACTTCGTGAGCTGGTACTACTGCCTGCTGGAGCAGACTCGCTGAGAGCCCAGGGCTACCGTGCTGAGCTGGACCGGAAGCTGGTGCAAGTAGAAGAAGCCATCAAGATTTTTTCCCGACCCAAAGTCTTCATAAAAATGGATGCATGAGCCCTTTGTAGAGACAGTGGCAGGGAGATCCATGCTGATGATTACCTCATGGCTGCAAAGAGCAGGATCAGGTTTGCCATTGACCAGAGGCCCCAAGACAGGAGCAGTGGGCCAGCAGTACCCCCAGAGCACACTTCCCGTTACCAGTGGTTGTAGAAGGACCATCCCAGCATTTTAACCTCTATCAAAATTAAACCTTTTGTATACAGTGTGGTTTAGTTCCATAAGAGTTTTTCTTACTCTAGAAATGCCAAGTCCAGTGAGCCTCCTGCTGCTTGATTATTAAAGGTTTCCCCCACTGCCTTTAACACTCCTGCCTCATGTCCAGAACAGAAGACAGGGATCAGAGAGGAGGCTGGGACACAGAAGGACCATCTCTGCATTTGTAGAAAACATTTAATGTTCTCTAGGCTAAGAGGGCCCTGTGAGCAAGCTAACCTCCCCCTACCATCACCACCACTGGGAAGTCCCTGCTGTGTCAGCCAACCTAAAGTGGCAAGGGGGTGCGTTTTTGCCTGTCAGAGGCTGAAGCCACTACCATCTCCTCGAATGCCATTCCCCCAGCTGGAGCTGGCCTGTTCCTGGCCATGCAAGGAGGGCAGAGAGCTGCCAGCACCAGGAAGTAGGCAGCCAGGTTGCAGGTCCCAGCATGGGGTCCCCTGAGACAGCCCGTTGGAACAGGGAGGGTGACGGTTTTCAGTGAGCAGGTCTCTGCTGTCATCATCACTGTCAGGCTCAGCAGACCCAGGTCCTGTTGTGGGAGGCCCTGTCAGACGTCCAGATGCCCCTCGCACCACGTTATTGCGCTGGTTGGCAGGCTTGACAGTGACAATGAGGTTATGGCTGTTGGCGACCATCATGTCTGTCACTTGGTCCAAGGTCTTCCCAGCCACCTCAATGCCATTCACCTCAAGAATCTCATCACTAACTGCCAACAGACCTGTACTCTCAGCCAGGCCCCCCCGTACCAGGCGGGAGATGAAGATGCCTGGCACCCGCTCCAGGCCCTGGGGAGCCACACGCATGCTCATGCCATCTCTGATGTAGAAGCCCAGGGGGCGGTCTGAACCATGCTTGTGTAGCCTTACACGTCGGTGGGTCTCAGGCAGTAGGTCCACATCTATGACTGAGGAGACCTGGCGGAAATCTTGGGGCAAGCTGATTAGCAAGGGTGGCCGGGTGCGCAGGGGTGCCACTGGTCTCAGCAGGAGCCCTTTCTTGCGCCGCTGCAGAGAGTTGGAGGTAAAAGCCAGGCCACTGGAGTCTGCTTCTGCTGCAGGAGAGGGGGGTGTTGAGATCAGAGACTGTTCTTCCACTTGGGCCCTTTACAAGGGTCAATGTTGCTATTTCCTACTACTTGGAGGTCAGGCCAAGGACAGGGACTGCAAAAGGTGAAGCCTGGGTGCCCTAGGTATGGACCAACCTCGTAGATCTGCCCTGTCACCCTTCCCCAAACAGACTGCCCACTGTACCCCATCCTCACCCCGCTTCTGCACTAGTAGGCGCAGCGGCGGGGGCCCGCTGGCCAGGGCCCGATGCAAGCTGTCGTCGTTGGTGAGGGGCAGCAAGTCACCGTGAGCATCTGTATAGCCAAGCAGCACGTCCAAGCCTGGGATCTGGTGCACTGAACGCAGCAACCGCGAGAACTCTTGGAAGCCACTCACCGAAGCTCGGGGAAGCGCGAAGCGTCGGAACTCGGCGTCAAACTGAGGCCGCGGGTAGGGGAAGAAGAGGGGTCAGGATAGAGCCAGCGCCCCTTTCTCACCACTAGTCGGAAGGTGGCGGGGGTGGGAAAGAAGGGGCTGCTGCAAAAGCTGCAGCCTTAAGCTCAGACCTCAGTCCAGCCCAAGGGACGCTGTCCAAGGTCTTCTCCCCGCCCTCCACATACCCAGGCCATAGAGAAACTGGACGCCGGCAGTGGAAGAAAGGAGAACAGATGGGGAAAAACGGGCAGAAAAAACCAGAATGGAACGTGAAAGGTGGAAGACAGAAAGAGGTGATGGAGACCAAGGAGCAGGGAAGGGAGAAAAAGGGAATTGGGAGCGCCTAGGGCCGAAGCCGAAGGAGCCCTTACTTTGCTCTTCACCTCGACGATGCTGTCGGGACTGCGTGCCGGAGTTCTCTGCGGCCTGGCCATGGTGGGGCCGGGCGGGCCGGGGCCCGGGCCGATGCCCCAGGCAGCCCGCAGAGGCGCAGGTGCACAGCCCGGCCGGCCCGCCCGCGCCGTCCGGCCCCTGGCGGTAACACTCGCCCCGCCCTCCCATCCGGACCATGACGTCAAGGGGGCAGCGACACGGAGGGACGCGCAATCCACGTTTCCTAGGAAACGGGGTGGGGCGACTTCCTCTGCTCTTTACGTTTTTACGCTGTGGTTAGTGCGTCGAGAGTCAAGGAAGAGGGACTCCGCCAATCTGAGGGGAGAATGAGGGAAATGGTATTTATTGAGTGCTGAGTGCTGTCATTTCCACTTGCCTTACAAGTCATAATAAATATTTTGCTGAACCCCTCGGGGGTCACACGGCGCTGAAGTGACCTCGAGCCAACTCACTAGGATCACTCTCGGCTGCAGCCTACTGACCCTCTCCTTCCGGGCCAGACCTTGGCCCCTTCCTTTCTGGTATTACGGGAGTCTTGAGGAACATCCCAAATGTTGGCTGGGCTCGGAGATAAGCATCCAATAGAAGCCTGAACACGTCTGAAAAGGACGCCCTGATGCGCACGCGCGGGAGCGCAAGAGGGCGTGGCCTCGACCTCGGGACCCGCCCAACTGTCACGAGCTTCCTCTTCCGACGAGAGGCGGAGTCACGGCGCCCGCGCAAAACCCTGCCCTGTGAGTTCAGCTAGTTGCTGCTGAGATGATGGCAGGCTCGGGGAGTTTGGTTCTGCGGCCCTGGATTCGAGAGCTGATCCTGGGTTCAGAAACACTTTCCAGTCCACGGGCGGGTCAGCTGCTTAAGGTGAGACCCCACTCAGGGACCAGAGCCGGGGCGGGGCCCGGAGTGGTGGGTTGACTCCAGTCGCCGCTGTCAGGTACTACGGGACTCGGAGACCCCGGGCCCATCCTACGCCGCTGAGGCTTCTGACTCCGGAGCCATGCTACTTGTGTCCGACGGGACCTACAGTGTCCGATGCCTGGTGACTCGCGAGGCACTGGACACCACAGACTGGTAAGAGAGGCGCCACCGGCTCTGGGGGGTTGAGCCCACGGGTGGGCGGACTGTCGGAGAGGAGGGGGCGAGGCTCATGCCCAAGGAGTGTGGGGCTTGTGTTCCCGCGGGCTGGGCATCGAGGGTCTTGCTCGCCGCAGGGAGGAGAAGGAGTTCGGATTCCACGGGACTGAGGGCCGACTGCTGCTGCTGCAGGTCTGCGAGGTCCGCATCCAGATTGCTGAGGGCGGCGCGGTGAGTTGTGAGGCTGGCTTGGATGGGTTACTGTGGCTGACTTTAGGTGACAACTCCTGAGACATCCCCCCATCCCCAATCCTCCAGCCTTCAGAGTTCTACCTCCAGGTGGACCGCTTCAGCCTGCTGCCTACGGAGCAGCCCCGAGTACAAGTGATTGGTTGGTAAGTAATGCCACCAAGGACTGGGGGTGTAACTCTAACAGAGCAAGTGCTTGGCATGTATGAGGGGATGGATTGGATCCCCAACACACACACACACACAAGTGATGCCTTCACCCAGGCCTGGCTGGTATTAGCATGGGCCTTTTCTGTGGGAGGGCCGCTGACTGCTTACCACCTTTTCCCCAGCAACCAGGATGCAGATGTGCAGAAAAAGCTCTGTGACTGCCTTGAGTGAGTCTGGGGTTGGGCTCTGGGGCTGAGTGAGGTCCAGTCAGGAGGTGGCAAATCTGGGTAGATAGGTCTCAGGATTGTACCTGAGGCCTGTCCACTCTGTTTCTAGGGATCACCTTTCAGAGTCCACCTCTTCCAATGCAGGTACTGGTCAAGCCCAGTGGCCCTAACTAACTTCTTGTGGAATTATCTCTCCTATGCTTCCTCAGTAAGTAATCCCCACACCCTACCTTTCTTTTCTTTGAGCCTCAATCCATTGTCTGGTCTCCTATCCCCAGGCCTGACACTGTCCCAGCTTCTGGATGAAGTGCAGGAGGACCAGGAACATCGAGGGGCACTAGTGCGCCTGGCTGAGAGTTGCCTGGTGCTGGCGGGCTCTTGCACTGCAACTCCCCTCACCCACTGGGCTGCGTCCCACTGCAAGGCCACGGTCAGTCTGGGGTTTCCTTTGGGAGGTATCAAGAAGTTAGGCAAGGGCCAGGCTGAGACTTCAGTGTCCCACAGGAAGAAGCCATGTATACTGTCCCCAGCTTATTGCTGCACATCTCTGAGAATGACCAGCAAATTCTGAGCTCTTTGAGCTCAAGTCAGAGGACGCAGGGTAAGAAAAAGTAAAGAGGTCAAAAGGGAAGTCTTTGGAGCCCGGGACCCACAGTGCTAATTAGCCCCTTCAGAACCCCCAGGCCCTGAGCTGCTGCCACCACAGCAGGCTCTGCAGGATCCATCTTTGACCGTGAACTTCTGTCCTTCCTCAGCCAATTCCTCAGGGGAGGTGGTGCTCATGCCACAAGCACTCACTCCGTCAGTCAGATTCCTGTGCTATGCAGGACGCTGTGAAACAGTGTGCAGTGGATGGGGGTGAACACAGACCCTGCAGACCCGCCTGAGCTCACAGCCACTCAGCTGGTCTGAGAGGGCTGTGCCCAGTGAGTCCCTTCCTCCACAGGAACCCCTGCCTTATCCAGCCTTGTGACGTTGGAGGAGAGTGGTGCCAGCATCAGCCTTCTGTCTGCCCTGCCCTTGGCTGCTCCAGACCTAGTACAGGGGGGCAGCTCCCAACCCCCACCAGCCATCTGCTCAGCCCCTGAACCTCTGTCCCCCAAATCTCCAGACCCTAATCATACACCCAACTTCCCCCTCCTGAGCTGCACCCCTACTCTCTCACCCCTCAGCCATGCCCCCAAGGGACACCAGGCTAACGTGACCAGAGCCCAGAAGCTTAAGCTAGAGTTCAGGGAGCTAGGATTGCTTTCCAAAAGCGGGCAGCCAAGGACCAGAGCCAAGGGAGCACAGGAGTCCTGCCCTGTGTGGGTGAGCAATGCCCTTCTGCAACTGGAGGGGAGAATGGGTCGGGCCTTGGGTAGAGCTGGTAGGGAGAGAAGGGTAGCCTTGAATGGGATTAGGGGTCCTTATTGGCCCCTCCCCATACACCACACCCCTTACAGGATCCCCCAAAGAGGCATCGTGATGGTTCTGCCTTCCAGTATGTGTATGAGCCACCCTGCACCTCCCTCTGTGCTCAGGTTCAAGCTGCCAGGTGAGTACCTAGGATGCCTCTACTCTGTTTGTCACCAGTTCCAGGCAGCTTTGACCTGCAGCCATGGTTTCTTCCCAGGCTCCCTCCTCAGCTTGTGGCCTGGGCCTTGCACTTTCTGATGGAGCCACAGCCAGAATCTGAGCTAACTCAGGTGTGAGGGCTCATGGGGGCACATCAGAGGATGTACACACAGGTCCAAGCCCAGACATGGACAAACAGTGCTCCCTCCACACTCTGTTTCCTTCAAGTTTTTTAATAAAATAATCTCATGCGGCAGGAGAGGAGAGGATCAGGGGTTGGGGCCGCCGCCTCTTTGGTCTGTGACTGGGGAAGGTAAGCTCTGCTCAGGGCTGGGGGACGCTGTGGGTTGTGGGCGCAGAGGTTCGGTTCCAAGGCCAGATCCTGTGAAGGGAGAGAGGAAGGGTCAGGGCTGTGCTGAGCAATCCTGTCACCTTCCCAACTGACCCTGGCCCCCACTTACCTAGGCTTGGGGAAGGGGGTGCCTCGAGCTTTGGCCTGCGCTTGAGGACAGGGGAGCGCTGCAGCCGCAGGGGCCGTTCTAAGAGATATAGAAAGGCTTGCTATCCACCCCCAGTCCCTCTCCGTATGACCAGGGCACACAAGAGCATACACATGCTATTTCCCTCAGAACTTCCTATCCTGTGTCCTCCCACCCCGGCAGGGGTTCCTCTTTGGGAGACAGAGCCGGGGCTAGTCTTACACCACTGCTGGCCCTCTCCACCAGAGACCAGAACCACAGTGGAAGCCCAGGAGCCCAGCCTCCCCCATCTCCTACACTCAAGCACACATGGAAGTATCTCCCTCACCAGCAGGGGCCTGGAGCTGGTCCTCATGCACAGACACTGCTCGTCGCCCTTTTGAGAGAGGCCGTGGCCTCAGCTGGCCATCTAGGGGAGGCCGAGGTATCAGGGTCTGCTCCTGACAGCTGCTCCCACCCAGCCCTTGCCTCCCACCTTTAGTCACCAGCCCAGGATTAAGGTAACGGGTGGGGTGCCTGCCTACCTTCATTCCTGGAGCCCAGACAGGGGTCCTCCGGGAGGCCCAGAACATCTGGGGAAGGGCTGGCTCTTCGGGGACTTGGGCTAGGACAAGGAGAGGGGGGGCCTGGACCATCCTGTTGGCCCCAACCACGGCCTCTGAGTTCTGCATTCAATTGCTGCCCCAGTGTCTTCCAGGTGGTGGATTCAGGCCCCTGACCCCCTGGGCCAGGTCTGCATGAGGGGTCTGCAGGGAGAAGGGTGTCAGCTAAGACCTGAGCCATGCCTTGGAGATGAGTCTGAGTAATCATCTGACCCCTTCCTGCCCATCCCTGCACCTCCCCTAACATACTCAGTGGCCCTCACTCACCAGCAGACACAGAGTGGGTGCGGGACTTGATTGAGATGGGAGGAGTCTCTGTGGAACTGTCCATGATGTCACCTGCAAGGTGGGACTAGGGACTCAGACACCAGACGTTAGAGATGAGTCCTTTCCCCTCCCCCAGGAGAGCACATGCCTTGGGGACTAACTCTAAGGATACCTTCTCCCTCTAAATAATGTTCCCTTTACCCAAGAGTTCCACTTACCATCTGAGCCAGCTTTCTTGATCTCGCCATCTTTGCTCTGTAGGAAATAAGGCAGTCAAACTCCAGCCCTGCCCCCCTTCAACCTAGCCTTGTCCTTTTGTTTATGGTTGTTCTTATAACCCAGCCACAGAATGCCCACCATGAGCTGAGCAAGAACATGGCAAACCCAGTCCCCACCCCTCTGAGAGCTTTCAGTCTTTGATAGCAAATACACAGAAACATGCATGCACATTCTAGACACGTAAATACGGTGATTTTTTTTTTTTTTTTTGAGCCAGGGTCTTACTGTGTAGCTCAAGCTGGCTTCAAACTCACAATCCTCCTGCCTTAGCCTCTTGAGTGCTGGGGGTACAAATTTATTATACCACTACACCCAACAAATATTTTGTGTGTGTGTAGTATTGGGGCTTGGACCAAGGGCTTCCCACATGGCAAGTGCTCTACCACTTGAGCCATACCTTCAGCCATTTTGTTTGTATTTTGTTTTTGAGATAAGATCACAGCAACTTTGCCCAAGTTGGCCTCAAACACTTTTTTTTTTTTTTTTCTTTGTGGTACTGGGACTTGAAGTCACGTCCTTTACCTTGTGCTACTCCACCAGACCTTTTTATGGTGGGTATTTTCAAAATAAGGTCTCTCGAACTGTTTGCCCAGACTGGCTTCAAACTTCGATCCTCCTGATTTCTGCCTCCTGAATAGCTAGGATTACAAATGTGAGCCCCGGCACCAAGCTCATATGTTTTCTTTCTAAAAAGCTGTTAAGTGGTTGGTGCATAGGACTGTGGTTTTTTTTTTTTTTTTTTTTGGTGGGACTGGGGTTTGAACTCAGAGCTTCTCACTGGCAAAGCAGGTGCTCTACCACTTGAACCACACCTCCAGTTCATTTTGCTCTGGTTATTTTGGAGATGGGTTCTCTCAAACTACTTGCCTGAACTGGCCTCAAACCACAGTTCTCCCAATCTCAGCCTCCCAAGTAGCTAGAACTACAGGCATGAGCCACTAGTACCTAGCAGGACTATGGTTCTTAACAGAGACAGTGATCAGAGTGGCATTAATAGGGTGGCCATGAAAGAGTCAAAGAAGGCCCGTGAAGAACTGCAGGGATGGGTGAGGAGGAACCTGGTATAACCCATGATGAGACTGGATGCAGGACAGACGGGGTCCAGCCCTTACCACACGAGAAGGTTCTGAGGTACCCCAAGGGAGGAGAGTAGTGAGATCTAAGGGGGCTGGGGTCAAGGCTTCACAGGACTTTGTAGCATGGACAAAGTTTCCAGAGGAATGCCCTGGAAGACTTGCTTTTTCAAGTATAGGAGACAAGATCAGATTTCTGTTAGACCTGCAGAGAAAGAACTTTCCCAGGCCCTAGGAGGAGAGATCAGTGACCTGAGTCAGAGTAGAAGCCAAGAGAGAAAAAAGTTCAATCACTATTTTGAGGTGGAAGAGAGTGTAACTGACAGATCTATTTGTGTCATGAGTCTCCTCCCTTCTGGTCACATATGTCACTCACAGATTGCCACATGCCACCTGTCCCCTCACTTCACACTCGTGACCCCCACCACCAACTCACTTGCTTCCTCTTGCCTTCAGCTCCCCCGCTGCTCCGGCTTACACCAATCCTCTGCAGCATCACTTGTACTCGCTGTTCAAAGGATGGAGCCAGTTCTGTTTCTCCTCGCTCTAGGGGCCGCCGCTGGGGACAGAGATGCCCAAGTCAGGAAAAAGCCCACTACCTTCCATTTCAAAAAAGCCCTCATCCTGTCACCAGGCCTCACCTTGTCAGGTCTGGCACCCAGTGTTGCCTCTTCCTCCTCAGCAGGTAGCAGAATCATTGAGTAGGCCTTGCTTTCCCGTGTGTAACGAGGCCGGCTCCTGCGGGCAGGGTCAGGGCTACTGGTGCCCCCTTCAGCTCCTCCAGGCTCCTCACCACGGCCTGGACGGGCTGGTGGCCGCAGCAGGTCCCCAAGTGTGGTTTTTCTGGCACGGGCAGCTGTCCCAGGGCTGGTCTCTAGATCTGGCCGTGGACCCCGTGTTGAACGAGGCTTCTTAAAGGCAAAGAGGGTGCCCAGTTTCTTTCGAAGCGTACGAGGGACAGGAGTGGCACCCCCCTCGGTGGCCAGGTCATCCTCGGGGGCCCAGCTGTGAGGACAATCAGGAGTGAGTGAGGAAGCCCACCTGCATCCCACCCTCTCCTGGCTAGACAACTGTCCCTCACTCACAGGCGGTCCTGTTGGATCAGCCTTTTGGAGAAGAATTCCTCCACACCCTCGTCCACTCGGGCACTGAGCCCATTCCCTTCCTGCGGCAGGGCTGGGGGCACCTGAGAGACATGGAGGTCAGGAGTCAGTACTGAGTGTAACTGTGGCTTCCTGCCCGCACCCAGAAACCAGGCTTGGATAACCTGCTGGAGCTGAGGTGGTCCTAGGGAGCTGCTGCTATCAGCCCTCCCCCTGTCCAGTGTTGGACAGAGGTTCTGGGTTTCAGACTCCCTCCAGCTGCTGCCCCGGCACATACACCCAGTTCCCACGGTGTGAATGCCCTAAGCATCTGGTCACCAGCAAGCTAGCACTCACACGACCCCTGGGTCACACGTTTCAAAATACTTGCCACCCCTTCTGCTCCCAACACTTCCCTGCAGTACCCTCAGCCCCCTACCCCCCCCACCCCGGGCCTGCTGCCGGCTCAGCGGCGCCGGCTGCTGCGTCAGACCCTCGAGGGGCCTCAGGCCGGCTTCTCCTCGCCTTCTGCCAGTGCCCATTGCCCCCACCCGGTACCCAGCCCACACATACATCCGCCAGACACGCAGCAGACACAGGATTGTCCTCCTGCCTGGCTGCCCAGCATCTTTCAATAACCGGGGAAGAAGGCAAGACAGACGCGTTCTCTCACACATCCACCCGAACAGCGGACCAGTTCGAGAAGTCCTCCACCCAGGCGTACCTCTCACAAAAGCCACATCGGCATGGCCTGGGGTGGGGGTGGCCAGGAAGAAGCCGGGACGACCAAATGGCCTGGGGCCCCCACAACCCGCCTCCCTGTCTGCCATCACCCGTAAGGTGCGGCCGGGTCACCCATGACCCCCAAACCAGAGTCGAGGAGAAGGGGTCTCACCTGGGGGCCCCCCGGCGGCGGGCGGTGGTGGTGCTGGCGGCGTGGTCTCGGCCGGGCCCGGGTTGGATGGCGCAGGGGCTGTCCGGCTGGTGGCAGGTCCATGCGAGGCAGAGGGCCGGCCTGTGGCCCGGGGGCAGCGGGACTCGGAGAGCCGCGAGCAGACGGCCCCGCCTGAGGCTCCGCATCTTCTCCCGGAGCCGCCAGCTCGGGCTCCGGCTCCGCTTCCTCAGCAGCACCTGAGGCAAGAGCACCAGAAGAGCAAAGCGCCGAGCCGGGGAGGTGGCAGTGGAGGCGGCAGGGCGGCGGGCCCGCCCAGGGCTCGGGGAGGGGCCCGGCTACGCTGCCAGCCCCTCCCCCGCCGCCGCTGTCCGTGGTGCTGAGCGCGGCCCCGGGTGCGCGCGGCTCCTCATTGCTGCCAAGCATGCGCGTTCCAGGGTTAGGGAAAGGAGCCGGGCAGGCTGGGGAGATGGTGTCCCGGCCTTGGTCTGTTCAGGTCCCACTCGGTGCTGACCACAGCAGACCCGAGCTTTGCAGGTTGCTCTGGGTCTTGGCCTGGACCAGGCAAGGGTTAGGGAGTACCCAGGACAGGGCTGAATGAGTGTCTGGGTGTTCAGGTGCCCAGCTTCTGCCCACTGGAGTAAACTCTCTTCCCCCTCTAGGCTTTAACCTACTGTGGGTGGAGGGGACGAGGTGAAGACGGTGGCTGGGTTCAGGCAGTTTCCACGGAGGGTCATCATTCTGGTGAGAAGCGTACAACTTCAGCCTGGGTGAGGGGTACAACCTCATCTCCCACACCCCAGAGCAAGATGGGAAGATCTGAAGTTCTAGACCTGGAATTCTAGGACCACTTACCTTCTCATTTTCTTCTTCCTTCTCCTCAGAGAAGTGTAGACCTTCCAATTCCCCAGGCCCAAGGGAGCGGGGCCTCCTTCCGTCTAGTTTCAGCAGGGTAGGGGGCATTGTCACTGGTGCCTGCTGAGCCAGACTCTCCACCTGCAATACCAGGCCACTCAAAGATGGGCAGGGCTAAGGAAACCTTAAAGTAGCCCCGGGCTAGATGGACCCCAGAAGACATTACAGAGCCCCAGCAAGGTGAATGGTCAGGTGACTGTGTGTGCACAGCTCCCCCTCACCAGTCGATCCCGGGCTGCACTCAGCCCTGCTAGAGCCTGAGCCACAATACTCTCTGCTAGGGTCCCTGTGACCGACAGCCGCATGTCCCTGAGGGCAATAGAGGGTAGTGGTTATAATACTAGTAGCTCTCTTACCCTGCCCAGCCCAGTCCTGCCCAGCCTACCTGAGCCTAGTGAAAGCATCTTGTAACAACTGCTCTGGGAGCAGCTCTGGGAGGCCTCTTGAGCCTACCAGGACCACTTCTAGCTGCTCCTTCCAGCCAGGTCCCTGAAACATCCGTGGGCAGAGGTTCCTTGCTGTGTCCAGTGTGCTCTGAGTGAAGTCCTGGACAAAGGTTAGAGCATGGTGAGGGTGTGGCTAAGGCCAAGGCTCTTTGGCTTGAGGCTGTGACCTCCACAGAGCTTCTACTGACTGAGGGGTATCACAGTCAAGCCTGCATATGAAGGTGGGGCTGTCTTGAGCAGGAATAGCTTCTCACCTGGATGTCCTGGCGGCAGACCTCACCCACCTGTCCCAGGAGGCCCTCCAGCTTCTGACGAAGCTGCCAGTGATGGCTTGGGGAGCTCCCAGCCTCATATAGAATGGGAAGAACCTGAGGGCCAAGGAGGAAAAGGAGTCGCAAGTGGACATGTGACTAAAAGGTGAAAGGTCCTCATTATAGGAGAGGGAGTGCTCACACTGAGAGAGAAGTTGGCATTTTGGATGGCGTCCTCAGCCTGGTGCACAGCAGCTTCACCCTGGGGCCCAGCCCCACAGCCCAGCAGCTCCACATGCTCCTGCACTGACTGACACAGTTCATTCACTTCCTGTGGGGGTTATAAAGGATCAGTCGCAGTCTTGCCCCACCCTTCCAATTTCTTTGACCATGACTGCCTCCCTTGGGAGGAGGGTCTTTGACAACGGTAGGCGAAGTCCTTAAGCCACATAGGCCAGTCACTAGGAACCTTCAAAGACAGCACTGTTTCTTCCTTTTGGTCATTTTAGGGACTTGTTACTTCCTAAATTCCCAGAACTGCCATTCACATAAAAGGATAGGGGTATGTGTGTGTGTGTGTGTGAGAGAGAGAGAGAGAGAGAGAGAGAGAGAGAGAGAGAGAGAGAGAGAACAAGAGGAGTGTGGAGCCATGCAGGAGAGACCCAGAAAGCAAAGGATAGTTTTGTGGGGGTGAGGAGTGCATTTTTGAGAGGTAGTCCAGAGGAGGGACCAATGAGGATGTGTCAATGTGGCCAGGGAGGGCCTGGAAGGACACTCAAACTTTTCCACAGCACGTGGTGGTTGTGGGCACCAGGGAAATTGGGTTCCAGGATAGAGAATGGGGTTTGTGGGAGATGTGCAGAGTGTGAAGCTCCCACAGGATGTCTGAATCAAGGTGTCTGGGCTCTGGAGCTTAGAAGAGAAGCAGGATAAGCAGGATTTGGGGTTTTTTTTTCTTTGTTTTTGTCCTGGGGATTAAACCCAGGACTTCAAGCATGCTAAGCAAGCACTGTACCACTTGAGCCAGGCCCTCAGTCCAAGACAGCAATGGGACTTGGGGACAGAGAAGTGGGAACATCTCAAAAAGGTGAGGTAATGGGAGGGACAGATGGGGCTATAATTAGGAAATGTGAGGATTTTTTTTTTTTGGTGGCACTGGCCTCACGCTTGCTAGGCAGGTGCTCTTATCACTTGAGCCCTTCCTCCAGCCCTTTTTAGTGAATTTTTCTTCTAGATAAGGTCTCACGAACTATTTGCCCAGGGCTGGCTTCGAACCTCGATCCTCCTGATCTCTGCCTCCTGAGTAGCTAGGATTAAAGGCGCAAGCCAGGGAATACTCCTGTCTTTAACAGGGGAGCCCGTTCACATGCCTAAAGTAAGGCAGCCAATAGTGTTATCTGGGGAGCTATTTCAGGAGTGTTTGGCTGTCTCCAGACCAAGGAGACAGGCGAAGGAATTGTCTAGGACAGAGGACTCAGGCACCCTGGACTCAAGGAGGAGCCCAAGGTACTCAAGGTTGGAGAAGAGGGCACTGACCTGCTCTGAGCGATCTGAGACCAGACCAAAGGGATGAAGGCGGGATACACGGTCTGAAGTACTGGGGTCCGCGCGGTTGTTCCTCAAGAGACAAGCTTGGATCTGGAGGAAAGGGATATTGAGAAATGGCTGGAGGCAGAGCCACGACTCAGAGAAGGACAGGCAGGAAAGGCCCCTCACCTGATGGACTGCACGTGCTGTCAGTTCCGGGCGGCTGCGCTGCGCTTGGGTCACGTCATTCAGTGGAAGAGGCATGGACTTCAGGCTGTGGTTCTGCTCCAGGGCCTGTGCCACGTCCAGCAGGCCCAGAGCAGATGTGTGGTTCCGGTCCCAGATCACAGACCTAGGCCAGACCCAGCTTCAATAGGGGGACTGAACTCCCCCAAGGCTCCACTCAACCCATCAGCGTTATCCCTTCTTTCTGCCCTGGGCCTGCTCCTTTAACCCCGCCCCTTAGCCTAATACATCCCACCCCTTGATGACCCCGCCCACCGGAGCTTTGTGTTGATTCGTAGCGCCTTGGCCAGCATCTTGGCTCCCGCATCCCCCATGGCATTGCCGCTGATATCCAGCGCTGTCAGGTTAGGATTGGTGCCCAGGGCCTGGAGCAGGACATTGGTGCCCAGCTTCAGCCGCGACTCAGCCACGGATAAAGACTGCAGGGGCTGGGGTTAAGAGAAAGCTACTGATGATTGGAGTCAGAAGGTCAGCAAGGGGGATGGGTCACAGGGTTTGAGAAAGCAAGAATCAGATGTCAAAAAGGGTATTGTTTGAGCACCCCACAAGGCCCAGTGAACTCACACAGTCATCATCCTGCATGAGCTGAACAATCCGGTGCAGGACGTCATCCAGGGTCTCCCTGTGGGCAGGGACCGCTGTTGAGGGGGGAACTAGGGTGGTGGGGTGCAATCTGAGAGGCCCAGGAACGGGATGGAGGCTCACTTGCACCGGACGTTGAAGTTTCTTCCAAGCGCCACATGTCTCAGGGATCGGCTCCTCCCAATAGCCAGTACAAGAGTCACCATGTCTGAGCCGAAGCCTGGGGGTGATGTACAAAGTGATGCTGCCGGGGCGGAGTGGGGATTGGGAATTAAGTGTAGAATGGAAGGATGGGTTCCCTGGCGGCCTCACCATTATCCGCCAGATCTAAGGAGCTCACGGCGCCCGCGTCGCACACTAAATCTTGTATCACCTGCGCACCCGCAGAACGCAGCTGGAGGTGGAGTTGGGGCGCGATAAGACACTCAGGCCGTGATGGGGAGGAGCAGCGACCGACAGGCCTGCTTCCCCGCCTCCCAGCCTCACTCCCAATGTGTCAGGTCCCCGCATGCTCACTTCTACGACGGAGCGCTCACCTCACAAGCGCTGAGGTCCAGGTGCAGGTCGCGGATATGCGTGTTGAGCGAGAGGCCATCTAAAAGGGCCCTGGGAGAGGATGTCATGGGGATGGCGGGAGCTGGGAAAGGGGGGCCCAGGGTGCGAACGAATACTAAGAAGGCAGGATCAGAAAGCTGGGGAGGTTGGTGCTATAGGAAAGGGGCAAGGCAACAGAAGCGGCCTCAAGGTGGAGGTCCCCGCGCGCGGGAGCGTGTGGCCGTGGCAGTGACACTAACCTGAGCGCATCAGGCGGCAGCTTGCAGCCGGCCAGGCCCAGGTACCGCAGCTTCCCCGCGCGACTAAGAAAGAGTTGCAGCGCAGATGGCGGGACTCTGGACTTCCTGGGGTGGGCAACAGTAGAAGAGGGCTTTGGGTGCAAGCACACGACCCCCGGCAGCCTCGCCCGCCCGGACTCGTCCCCCTTACGTGCGGGATAAGACGTTTCTTGAAGCGTCGAGGTGGGTGAGGCTAGAGCAGCAGCCCCCAGACAGTGCTGCGAAGAGCTGCGGAAGAAGGGTCTTGGCTACACAGGCAGGAGGACCGAGCTCTCCCTGATCCCGCCCAGCCCTTCAGTCCACCCTGCTTGAGCTACTGAACCCCGCAGATCATCTCCCCACATTACCCCGCCCCCAACCATCGTCTCACAGTGTCTAGGGCGGTGTCAGTGCCTGCAAGATTCAGGTGCTGGAGAACATTAGGACGGCTCAGGAAACCGTAGAGGCCCTGGTGCGAGGTGGAGGACGGGGGTCAGGAATTTAGGACTTCCTGACATCCTACAGCATGTGATAATCTCAATTTCAAACCCTGAAGACAGCCACTCACCCCATTGTCCTCAGAGGCTCCCAGGGCTCCAGGGTTCCCAGAAAGGTCCAGGTGAGTCAGGATAGAGTCAAAGCCAGCATTGGTGACCAGTGCCTCGCCCAGAGCCCTCATTCCTGGAGGAAATGAAGAATGTAGCTCAGCACTCAGGCAGGCCCCCTAACCCCTCTCCACCACATGGTCCTCCTGCCCACCTCTCGAAGTCAACCCTGTCTGCGCTAGGCTGAGTCTCCTCAGGGCTCCTGGACGATGCTGTAGGTGTCTGCTAAGCGCAACCATACCTGGGGATGGGGAAGCTCTGTAAGCTTCATCTCCCCCAGCTGCCTGCCTCAGGGTTCCCCTGGCTCAGTCCATACCTCTGTCATCCAGCAGGTTCCCGGCCAGGCTGAGTTCCCGCAGCCCAGAGTTTGAGTGTCCTGCCAGTACCTGAGCCAGTCGCCGGACAAAGTCTCTGAGGACCAAGACCCCAGTCATGAAACTTTGTTCCTGGCTTTCAAGCACTCTTTAGGCCATTAGCCCCCAACCACAAGCCCCAGACACTCCTCCCCAAGTCCCACCCTGTTCCCTCACCCTCTCAGGCCACAGGTCTCCAGCACCAGCTCCTCCAGGTGGGATGACTGACTCATCATGTGCAGAATCTGTTCTGAGACCTCGAGGCTCTGAGAGCAGAGTCATGGCTCACTAGGTTGCACCCAAGCCCCCATACTCTTGGCACAACCTGCCCTATACCCTCACCAGCTTCATGTCCACGCAGGAGAGACACCGGAACCATAAGTTGTAGGACAGGGCAGCCACACTCAAGGCCAGATCCCTGGGTGGGGGGAAGGGCAGAGGGTGAATTCAGCATCCCCTCCATGGACAGGCTGAAGCCCAGGAATATGGGTCCCAGCGTCCTCTTCCCTTCCCAATCCTGGAAGACCTCGTACCGGCTGCTAAGGTGGCTGAAGTCTCCCAAGCAGAAATGGCGGCAGCCCTGCCGATGGTAGATGGTGTCCACATCCTGGATGGGAAGACAGTGTTCACAGCTGGCTTGGGACCATGAAGAGTAGGGAGAAGTTTATCACACATGGAGGACCAGATGTCTCCAGAACCCCCGAGAAAGGGCCCTGTTCTCACCCACTGAATCTCCTCTCGGAAAGGGAAGCCATTGTAGTCACACAGAGCTTCATAAGTCTCCAAGAAGCCACCTGGGGGGAGGTGCCAGGGTTATGATGGAAGAAAGAAGAGAGACAAGTCGGATATTGAGGAAGATCAGACCCAGGCTAGGTGGTGGCTGTGATGCAAGTAGCTCTGTTCAGTTTGGGAGTCTCCCAATTTCAAGGGTCTGGGCTGCTAAGCAGGAGCAGGCTAGGTCTATGTGGCCCTGCCTTGGCACTCACCACAAGGGCTGCTGGGTGCTGTGGACTCTGACGGATTGCTTCTCTCCAGCCGAGCCAACATTGAGGGGGGTGTGGGCTTCAGGAATAGTTTCCTGGGGAAGGGAGAAAGGAGAAGGGGCAAGGAACTTCTAGCCCCTGAGAGCAGCCCCCTGGTATCCATCCAGAGCATCTCCTGTTCCCTCCTCCAGACCCTTGCAGTTGCCAGGCCTCACCCAAGGATCGAGTGAGGGAAAACCTTTTTGATGGCTGAAGCCACATGCTGGGCCAGCTGTTCCAGGGCAGCCACGCCAGGAAACTCCAGGACCAGCTCAGGCAGGGACTCCAGTTCAAAGGTGACCTGGGAGAGGAGGGCTGCTGGGTTTGGATCCATGTATAACAGCTGGCATCCCTTCCAGAGCTCCATGTGTAAGGGGTGAAAACCAAGACTGTAGGCCCAGGCGGTATACCAGATCTCTCACCTGTGGAGGTGTCTCCTGTAGTGTCATGGCCTGGACCTCCAGGTAGCTGAACGTGCAATCCACCTAGAGAGCTCCTGGATCAGCTGGGACCAAGTCCCTAAGCCCCACCCTCATGGGAACCCAGGGATTTTTGTTTTTGAGACAGGGTCTAGCCATGTAGTCCAGGCTGGTCTTGAACTCTCAATCCCCCTGCCTAAGCCTCCGAGTGCTAGGATCACAGGTGTGCCCCACCATACCTGGACTGGGAGCTCAGTGTGTGTGTGTGTGTGTGTGTGTGTGTGTGTGTGTGTGTGTGTGTGTGTGTGTGTGTGCGCGTGTGTGTGTGTGTGTGTACAGCTTGAAGCCCAGGGCCAGACCTGCCCAAACTCCCCTCCTGCCTGCTTGCTTCTGGGAACCCGGTGCTGTTTGAAGGACAGCCCTCTACATGCAGCCCTTTGCCAAGAAAGTGGCTGGAGGGTATAGGGCAGGGGCACTCCAGGCCCTGGACTCACCCTCAACGGGAGGCAGGTGTGGAGCAGGTAGGCTCTCCATCGCAGCAGTGCCTGGGGGAGACAGAGCCTGACACTCTGGGCAAAACAAAAGACTTTGTGCTGGACCCCCACTACCCTGCCCTTCTGGGCCCTGCTCCTGCCCACCATACCAAGACATGACTTTGCTCTGCACCCTCCTGGGGTAGCCAGGTTTTAAGCAGCAGTTCCGCCTCCTTGGGCCACAGGAACCTGGTGATCTCGCCTGTGGAAGGACAGCCTGCTGGGTCGGTTTGATACTCCATCAGGGCCACTCGCGCCCATGGTCTGTGCCAGGCTAGATGCCAAGGGCTCATCTACCCACTAGCTAAGGAAGAAATGGAGTGGACTGGGGGACACTGGCCCTTCACAGGGGCAGAGAGAACCTCTGGCCGAGTCCCCTAGGGCGCAAGGTGGACCTCTGGTTTGGGGCCTCGCTGTCTCCTCCCAGCCAAGTGGGCGGGAAGGCCAGAGCTTACCTCGCAGCTCACATGATATTCCGTCCGGGGTCTGGGCCATAGGGCCGGACCGTCTGGGGTGGCCCAGTGAGCTCTGGCGGGAAAGAGCAGCCGGCGGGTGCGCACACAGGAAGCCTGGGGCCCGGGGCCGCACTGCAGCCACCTGCTCCTCTAACAGCGGAAGGTACGCGCCGCTTCCTGCCAGGCCGCCCCCAGCCCGGCCTCTCCCCGCCCCAGTCTCGCGGACCAAGAGCTCGCCCGGGATCGGGGTTGTGCGAGGGGGGCCGAGTCCCAGCTGTCCGCCCGCCCGGTCGCGCAGGGTACACATAGGAGTGGGGAGTGGTGTAGCCAAGAGGACCGCGGGTGTCGCGTGCCTCTTGCGGTTTCTTGCGCCCTATTTCCATCCTGTCCCGCATGTCCTGCCGCGAACAGCAGAGGGCGCTGCCCACTTGAGGATCCCTGCCGCCCACCCTGGTCCTCCCCTTCAAGGCCCAGGCTGGGGAGGTGAAGCAGGTGCCCAGCGGAAGGGGAGGTGAGTATCTATTCAGCAATGAGCACCCCATCTCCCACAACCCCGGGTCTTGCCCAGTTATTCCGAACTTGAGGTCCGTACTCCGCCGGGGGATACACCAACTTTTGAAAAGGAATTTAAAAACCAAGAATAACAAAAACGCCAGATGCCCTGGGTGTGGTAGCCTGTAATCCCAGCCCTAGGGAGGCTGAAACAGGATTGTAAAGTCGAAGCCAGCCTGGGCTACCTGGCAAGACTCCTGTTTCAAAACAAACAAAACAAAAACAAAAAACAAAAAAGGTACGGTCAGGACCCCAAGAAACTGAGTGAGAAAGGCATGAAGTGCCTCACAGGTAAAGGCCAGGTACATGGGAGCCCTTCTGTGTGTGGGGATGGATCCACTGAGGTAGGCTAGTCTCCAGGGCTGGGAGGGTCAGGGAGTCATGGGGTTGAGGTCTGCCAGCCAGAAGCATGCTGAGAATTCACAGGAAGGTTCTACTCCCCCCCCCCGCCCCCCTCCCCCGCTCTTCCATTACAAACTACTTAAACTCCACTTAAGAGGTAAGGAAGCAGCCGTCTACCCTGCCCACAGCTCGGCCAGGCAGAGATGAAAAGTCCAGGAAAGTAGGAAAGACCACATACTGGGCAGTGGTCTTTTGGGTTTTTTTCTCATCTCCAGCTACCTCGCCCAGCCTTAGGGCTTAGAGATCGTGGGAGCACCCGCCAGACATGAATCCCTCCTTCCCCCGCAAAAAACAGTCCTAGTCCCAGCTACTCTGGAGGCTAAGGCTGAGGATCACTTTAGCCCAGGAGTTCTGGGCCAGTCTGGGCAAACAGATCAAGAGACCCTATCGCGAAAATACCCAACATGAAAATGGGCTGGCGGAGTGGCTCAAGTGGTAGAGCACCAACCAAGTATGAGGTCCTGAGTTCAAACTCCAATACCACCAAAAAAAAATTTTTTTTAAATGGCTGGGATGTAGCTCAGTGATGGAGCGCTTATTTAGCTTGTAAGAGGGCCTGGGTTTGATCGCCAGGACCACAAAGAAACCACAAAAAAAAAAAAAAATACGCGGACTGGAGGTGTGGCTCAGTAGTAGAGGTGAAGCTCAAGCAGTAGAGCTTCTGCTTTGCAAGCATGAAGCCCCAAGTTAAAACTCTAGTTCTACCAAAAACAAAAACACAATTCCCATTGCTAAGTTCCATCAAGAGTGGCACAAAGTGGAAAGTAGTTAACAACTTGGGGGGATGCTTCACCCCCTTAAGCAATGGGCACATGGTGTGTCAGTTAAGGGATGATGGGAGGACTTGGCTGGAGAGAATGATGCAAATAGAGAACTCCTGCAAAGGCCAGAAGATGCTCTACCACCTCTCAGACTGAAGGGAGAGTTTGGATTGAGATCTAGACTCTAAATCAACCTGGAACAGTTTTTTTTTTTTTTTTTTCCTTACTTTGTTTGTGCTACCAGAGTTTGAATTCAGGTCCTTACACTTGCTAGGTAGGTACTCTACCACTTGAGCTACTCCACCAGCCCTGTAAACAGCTTTTAGGGTGACAACTAAGACTCACACACAGTATGGCCAAGAATGGAGGCTCTGAAGGCAGAGGGCCTGAATTCTAACACTGAAGCTACTTGACCTCACTGGTCTTTTACCTCCTTTTTGTAAGCAGGAGCTATTAACCTACCTGAGTGCTGCTCCAAAGATCAGTATTTTAAGTGCTCACAACAGTACTTGGCACTCAGCACTGGCATTTGCCAAGCCTATTGTGGCAACCCTGAGATTTCAAAACAGAATGACAGAAAACCCATCTTATTGGGATTTTATTTCATTTAGCAGTACTAAGGTTTGAACTCTTGGGCCTTATGCTTGCTAGGCAGGTGTTCTACCACTAGGGCCACAGTGCCAGCCTGGTATTTCTGTTTAGAATAATGAAATGGAGTGACTCAAAGGGCTGCAGCAGCTCCCAGGCAGGACAGAGGCCAGGAGCAACACAAGCAGGATTAGTCCTTGTGCATGGCGAGTCAGTCCTTGTGCCTGGCAAGTGCTTGAGGTAGGCAGGGACTGCTGAGGAAGCCAGAACCTGCATGGAGATTGAGACAGGTGTGTGCCCCAGCCACATAGCTGCTGCTGGTCACAGTGGTAGTGACAAAACAAACCTAACTGGTCTCAGAGACCAATACCTCCTACAAATGAGTGATTCCTTCGCTGAGGTGAGAATGTCAGCTTGCTCTGGACAAGCCTACCATGCCATGGTGCCCAGATGCTGAAGCTCTCAAAAGAACAGTCCTGCTTGCTGACCTGCTGAATAGCACAGGGCAAGGGCACCTTTTAAACAGGTTTTTGTTCCCCCCAACCCCACCAAATCCCCTTTCATGATACTGGGGCTTGAATTAAGACCTTATGCTTGCTAGCAGGCACTCTACGACTTGAGCCTAGCCCAAAAGAGGCGGTTTTAAAAGACAAGATCCTGATGCTACTGAGCTGAGAAGCAATGAACAAGGCTAATGACGGCCCAGGCATGGAAAAGCAAACATGTTATTTCTTTACTTTAGCCCCAGCTGAGGTTTAATACTGAGGAAGGAAGCTGCAGACTGGTTCAGGAATTTGCCATCCAAAGTTCTCTCGGTGAAGGAATAGAGGTGATGACTGGTTCTGCTGCTGGAGGGTTTGTATTTAACGGAGTCACACAGAATGTGTAATGAACTTCGCAACAGGATCCCTTTCCGCCTGAGTTCCATCAGAATGTCACTTCTCTTGCCCCATCCCAGCCAAAAGAAAACTCACTTCTAAAACTTTCAATTTGGAATATAGTCAGAATCAAGCTATGATGAACTCAGCCCCACTGTTCTGAGACTTTCAAAAATATTTCTAGTTTTAGCTAAAAGTTATATGCCCATTTAAAACAATTCTGGTAGTGGAATAGCCCATGGTTGGGTCGGAGAATTCATGTTCCAACAGCTAGAGGCTACTAATACACATTCACTGTAAGAGTTGACTGCCTGGCCCAGAACCCCAAAGCTTAGGAAACCCACCATTATGTTTTCCTCAGAGACCCAACTATACAGACAGTGCAAGCCAGCCCCGAGCTGCATACAGCTATCTTGTCCTTTGTTACTTTTCACTGAAAACCAGTAAGTTGGAATTTTGTTTAAAAAAAAAAAAAAAGTTTTCAAAGCTAGGTGCTGGTGGCTCACTCAGAAGGCAGAGATCAGGAGGACTGTGCTTCGAAGCCAGCTGGGACAAATAGTTTGTGAGACTACCGAAAAAACCCATCACACACACACACACAAAACCCCCCCCCCCCAAAAAAAAACACCAAAAAACTTTCAGCTATAATGGGCTTGCCAAAGCAATCTATCTAGAACTGTTAGGTGAACTGGTCAGAGCAAGATGAGTTCTCACTAACACATTTCCCAATACCACGCAACTCCTGGCCACCATCATCCTGTGGTGCTAATGAGCGGCTGTGCTATCTACGAGCCTGTCCTCATAGTGCCTGGTGGCTATCTTTCAAATAATCCTGTCTAGGGGAGGTTCGGCCCAACTTCTCTCTGCTCCCTTGAACCTGGCTGATCCCTGCCCTCATTGTGTCAGGATCCCAAGGACAGAGCTTCCCAATGACCCTTTCTACTCTAGGCAACTCTGGGCACCCCTGCTCTGTGCATGGGGCAGGCATTTGTAAGGTAGACCATGGAGGCTAGCAATGGTCTACTCACTTGCCTCTCTACTCAACATACAATTTTGGGGAGTAAAACTTGCAGCAGGTTGCACTCAATATCCTGTCATCTGTCAAGATCTCCTACTTGTCTGCTGCAGAGGAAGGGCTATGTCAGGGAAAAGAGCTTTCCTGAGAAAGCAAAGGCCTGCACAGTCTGGAGTTAAGCACAGGCCCCTCTGGGCCCCCAGCAGGCAGGAATCATGCCAGATGGAGTCTTCAGAGTGCCTGTTAATCCATTATGATTTATTAGCTGTACAGCAGTAGATCCACCTCCCCAGCTTTCAACCCCATTACATATTTTATTACAGGTCTCATGTTGGCGTCCTAAAATAATGAAAAATATCACACAGTACAGCTAAGTACAAAATGCATCAACCTAGAGTCTGATAGCTAACTGATGGCTCTCTTAAAAGCAATACACAGAAGAAAAGTGTTTGAAATCAGTTAAGACTGAGGCTTTCTAAAAAACACATTTTAAACATGTGACAGTTCATGTGCAAGAATCACTTTTTAAGTTGGTTTTGCTTCACATTATTATTTTTTTTTTTTGCAGATCCAAAGTTTAAATTACTGACCTAGTGAAAATTTCTGGCCCAGCTTGTAAGGGCTGCTGTGACCCATTCATAATTACCCTTCTGACTTAAACAGAAGATTTATAAAATACAACATTCAGCTACAAACAGAGCAAAGAAAATGTTGATGGGAAATCACAACTGAAAGTTAATTGTAAAAGGTTCAAATGCTGGCTCCATGGGCTGCAAATCACCTTTCCACACTGGTGTCCGTGACTAGCGGGCAGCAGACTGGGTGCTCTTCTGCTACATGATTGTAATCCGATTCTTTGTCAACATTTATACACCACCTAGTCCGTGGCAACTTAATTTGCAAGTAATTAAAATGCTGGGTTTTCTTACACTGCACTTCTTTTCAACCTCTTAATTAATGGAAAAGATTAAAATGTAAAAAAAGTTATTTACAAGCTTGACCATACCAGAAACTTTGCCAAGAAAGAGGCAAAGCTTTCAGGACAGAAACTGATCGTAGCATGCCATACTACTGGTGTGCAGCTGACTCCAAGCAAAGGGAGTCAGGGAAAAGCAAAAGCAAAAAACAGGTTAAAAGTCTAAGTCCTTCCCAAGTCTGCATTTACAATTAAAAACTCTCTTGGGAAGAAGACCAAAGAACTTTGGGAAACCCGTGGCCATTCTGGAGTGGTTTACTAAATCAAGAGAGGGTTCAATGTCTCTGTTTCCATCTAAGAAAACTAGTTAGGCATCAACACTGTCCTCAGCACTTCACAGTAAACCCTCAGGGACTCAGAACATTCCATGATTTGCTAACATCAAACAGCAAGTTCTAGTTAAATCACATTTTTCTAACATCATCCTTGAAGTTTTCGTTCTCAGTATGTTTGGTGTAAATGGTGTAAAATGATGCTTTTCCCAAAGCCAAAAGAAGAAAGAAGGGAGAAAAATTTAAGATTCAGGCCGTTTAAACACAGCCCAAAACAGTCCTGGTGATGAGTGAGGCCCTGTCATCACCGGTCCATCATGCTGAGGATCATCTCAGGTGTGAGGTCTCCATTGGGGGCATCTGTGGCTGCTGGCTGGGCCTCTTCTTCCTCCCCCTCCGCAGGCTCAGCATCTGGCTCTTTTTTGACTTCAACTATAATGTTCTCAATTGCACCTGTGTTCTGGTCTTCAACCTGAATGATGGCTGTTGCTGGCAAAGAAGAGCACGAAAAGAACAAATGGTACATTAAAGCCTGTAGGGATTATAAGGGTCTTTGTGAATGGGATGGCAGCACTATAGGAAAGCCTTAGCAGTGATGCAGAGAAGGTCAATTAAAAGAACACATCAAAGGGGGTGGGGGGAAGAGGGAGGGGGCGGTTATTAAAAAAAAAAAAAAAAAACAAAAACACATCAAGGGCCTAAAATGTGGCCATACACAAAATCAGGTCCCAATATGCTAGGAACTGCCAAAGGAAAAATACTGACATTTATCTTCATATGCCTCTCAGCTTGCACATTAAAATCCTTAGATTCCTTTATGTTATAAATTTGGGCTTTATGGGACTTCACGGGGGCAGGGGAAAACAAACAAACAAATAAAAAACAAACCCTAAAACCACCACCAACAAAAATGCCAGGCACCTGTGGCTCACACCTATAAGCCTAACTACCTGGGGGGCTGATATCAGGAGGATCCAGGTTCCTGGCTAGCCTGGGCAAATAGTTTGTGAGACCCCCCATCTCCAAAGTAACTACAGTAAAATGGACTGGGAGGTGTGGCTCAAGTGGTAGAGAGCCTGTTTTTCAAGTGTGAAGCCCTGAGTTCAAACCTCAGCCCTACCAATAAAAACAAGCAAACAAAAAAACCCCCTAAATTCCACACAGCTCAAGATTAAGAATACTTCACATAGTGTATGATGTAGGTGATGTTTTTTATTCTACAGCTCTCTCACACTTCCACAGGGCCCTCCTGCTGGTTTGTTCACTCAAGTGTGTAGTGAAATAAGAGGGCTGAAGGATCTAGAGTTAACCTCCTTTTCTGGTGATGGGCATCTAAATACGGGGCTCAGGGAGAACATTAGGGAAAAAAAAGATGATTAGGCTGGTGGACTGGCTCAAGTGGTAGAGCAAATGCTTAGCAAGCGTGAGGCCCGTAGTTCAAACCCCAGTGCCACAAAAAAAAGAAAAAAAAAAAGATGGACTGTGGGTGTGGATGAAGTGGTAGAGTATTTGCCTAGCAATCCCCAGTGCTGCATAAAGATTAAAGCCTGCAATTTTTTTTTTTTTTAAAGGACAGCTCCCAGGAGATCTAGAGTCACTTGAGTAGGAAAGTACAGAGCCTACCTGTGGAATGAGGTAGGCAGGGAAGGCAAATACCTCCCCTGTGTCCTGTCATAGAACAGGGAGTCGGCACTTATATCCATAACCCTAAATTTCTCCAGAGGGGCAATATCAATATACAAACTGCTTTATCCCTCTATCTCTGAAAATTGGCTCCTTTATATTCATTACCACATCAATTCTGCCAGCTGACTGTGACTTTGGTTGTCTTGCAAAAACCGCCCACATTCTATCTTGTAGAACATAAACTACCGTTCTACTCAGGACTTTTTCTCCTTGAAATGCAATAGGCCTTTAGAGATTTCCTCCGTAAAAACTTCTAGAAAATCACTTCCTGAGAGTTTGTTCCCAGTGTTACCTTAACTTGTCTCCTGGCTTAGTTCCCAACTTTCTGAGAACACAGACCCTTCTGGCTCCTTCATATGATAGGAAAATAAGCCAGCCTACTGAGCAGAGGGAAGTAACTTACGCTGGTTCTGTTTGGCCTGGTTGGTTCTGCCAGGGGGTCTTCCTCTCCGCTTTTTGGCAGGTGGTGGGGCTGGGGTCACAGGCTGAGGCTCTGGCTCAGGTTCAATTTCTACCGCAGGCTCCTCCTCGTCCTCATTGTCATCCAAATCTGGCTCAGCATTTTCTTCCCATAAAATCAGGAAGTGCAGAAGGGGGGAGGGGGGGAAAGACAAGTGGTAGAAGAAAAAGAAAACTAATTACATATTCTGTGAGTGAAGTCTCATTACATATTAATTTCACTTACTAAGAAAGGTCCCTCCAAAAGATGCTTTTGTTTTTGTTTTTTTCAAAAGATGCTTTTGTGAGATTTTATCAGCACTGAGAAGGTAAACTGGGAGAATTATGCAAATCATCTTAAATACTATTATTCACATTTTATGTGGACTGGATGTTATTTTTCTTTTAGCTTTAGACCTAATATTGAGTTTCAAATTATTAGAGGCAACTCGTCTTTTATTAGTTATATAACAAACCACAAAATGGTGTTTAAGCTGAAATTAAAAACAAATATTCCCTTTACTATATGAGGATAAAGCAGGACACTAAGCCTGAGATGCGGTTTTGCTTATCTCTGATTGTGTGTGTACCCATGAGAAGGAAAAGACTGAAGTTCTTCTGAATTTTTTGAGTGGGAATAAGGTTGAACTCAGGGTTTAGCACTTGCAAATCAGGTGCTCTACCACTTGAGCCATACCTCCAGTCCATTTTGCTCTTATTTTGGAGATGGGGGCTGTCTAATGAACTATTTGCCCAGGCTGGCCTTGAACCATGATTCTCTGATTCTCAGCCTCCCAAGTAGCTAGGATTACAGGCATGAACCACTGGTGCCTGGCTGTTTTCTTTTATTTTTGGTGCGACTGGGGTTTAAACTCAGGGCCTCACACTTGTTAGGCAGGTGCTGTTATTGCTTGAGCCGCTCTGCCAACCCTTTTTTTTTTGCAATGGGTTTTTTGAGATAGGGTCTCATGAACTATTTGCCCAGTGCTGGCTTCGAACCCAGATCCTCCTGATCTCTGCCTCCTGAGCTGCTAGAATTACAGGCATGAGCCACTGGTGTTAGGTGTTTTGCTTTTTTTTTTTTTTTTTTTTTGCGGTACTAGAGTTTGAACTCAAGGCCTACACCTTGAGCCACTCCACCAGCTCTTTTATGTGATGGTTTTTTCAATAGAGTCTCCCAGATTATTTGTCTGGGGCTGGCTTTGAACTGCAACCCTCCTGACCTCTGCCTCCTGAGTATCTAGGATTACAGGTGTGACCTACTGGTGCCAGGCCAAAGACAGGAATTCTTGATGTGCTGCATGTCCTGTTTCTAGGATTAAGTGGCAAGAGTTCTTCTGGTACTACTAACTGTTCTTTTTAAGGGCCAATATCTCTAAGTTTAAACGTAATTCCCAGCTGTACCAGACCTAATGGGTAATTCTTAATTACTTTTCTCTAATGCCTGAACTATCTACCCTTGGTAGAACAAGTAGTATATAAAAGAGAGGGAACTGCTACAGAGAGAATACTGACAAGGAGCCAGATAATATGGATTTGAGTCTCAGATCTCTTACTGAGCATGTGACCTGGGACACATGAATACCGACTCGGTGTTTCCTTGGATAATCTCTGTAGCACTCTCAACCTGCTGAACAGTGACTTGAAGATTAAAAGAATAATGGCAATACATGTAATCATGCCCAAGAATTTAGCACTCTACACAAACACAGCTTTTATTTATATTGTATATCACAATTTTAAAAGTCCCTCTATTTCCACTTAGGTTTCATTACTTCATTTACTAAGAAGTGTTATGTCTCGTTTATAGGCAAGGTGAGAAGCTAAGTGATTTCTAAGGTTCAGCTAGCCACCATAGGTAGAATTCAAGCCTTTAACTTCAGTCTGGACTATTCTGTCTACACCAGAAAGCAGCAAAAGAGTTCTTGGTTGGCCCTCGCCCATTACTGTGGCACTAAAGTACACTGTCTGCTTTCCATAAAAAGCACTGATTATTAACATACACTAGCTTTCTCTGGAACAAAATGTTTAAACTTAGAGATTGAGGGTCTTCAATGAGGGTCTTCAAATGTCTGATCTTCAGGACAAAAATGCCTCACTTCTCAAGTGACTGAAATCCTAAATGAAGATGTGGGGAACACACTGGCAGGTGGCACTGTGTCAAGAACAAGCTGTTTCCCTACTGAACTTATTCAAACACCCTATGGCCTGAGTTGGCCCAGTGCCCAGAAAACTAAAATTCGGTCAGAATTGGGGGGAAAGCACACAAAGAAGGTGAAGAGAGTCAAAGGCTTATTGGCTTGGAGAGATTTTGGGAAAAACAAAACAGAACAAAAACCTTGAAAATAGCAGAATTTGCTGGTCAATCTCTGCTTCTTAGAAGACCAATAGGCAGAACTTCTGGACTGGGACAAGTAACACTGCAGTGACTTGTCAGCAATGGGATGGAGTCCTAACCGACTTCAATGTTCTGGGGGTATAAAGAGGTACAAGGCCCTAAACCAAACCAGCAGTGCATAAGACAAAAGGAAGAACTGTAGAAACTCTCAGAAACTGTCAATAATCTCTTCAACTTAAAGATGCTCTGGCAATGTGCAATTAGTGAGTGAAGCTAGTTTTGCTGGAGATGAACCATAGACATGAACAAGGCAATAACAGGGGAAGGAAGGACATGAGACAAAGTAGCAGAAGGCTCTGCAACTAAGAGCAACTACAGGAATCCCAAAGCTCAAGGCTACTGCCATCCCTGGTAGTATTTTGGGTCTTCTAACATTTCTTGGTATTCTCACCAGTTCTTTGTAATAATGTCTTAGCCAAACGAAGGGATTCCACAAAGACTTACAGAAAAATTGGTGTGCTTTTATAGACTTTCCATTTAAAAAGGCAAAAATAGGGCTGGAGATATAATTTAGTGTGAGGTCAAGTTCAATCCTTGGCACTACCAAAAGGAAAAAATAAGAAACAAAACCAAAAAGGTGGCAAAAAATTGAGTATTTGGTTGGTTAGGGTCTCATTATGTAGCCCAGACTGGCCTAAAACTCAAGATCCTCCTGCCTAAGGCTCTAAAGAGGATTACAGGCATATGCTGTTATGCCCAGCTTACATTATTCTTATACTTACTAGATGAGTATATTTTCCCAGAAAAAGTCTGAAAAGTGAGACTTCCTTTGTTAAAATAAACAAAACAAGTATTTTGGAAAATTCAGTCTCTTTAATGAGCATGTTCTATAATAAAAGTATACAAAGTAACTGAAGTTCTCTCACTGGTTCATTTTACAAAAATTCCAACCCCTCTCCACTAGCTCTACTAACTAATAGAGAAGACAATATAAGGAATTCTTAGAAGTATTAGGGTACCATTTATCATCTCCCCAGCCTGATGGTGCTTCTGGGGAAGTACATTCCCCAATACACAACTCTCTACAACATTTTCCCTCAAGATCATCAATCTTTATTCACAGACATGCCTTCTACCTGGGGTGCCAAGAGCCCAAGTACTCACAGGTACCCACAGGTTATAGAATATAACACTTTTTTTTTTTGGTGGTACTGGAGTTTGAAGTCAGAGCTTCCAACTTGTTAGACAGGTGCTCTAGTGCTTGAGCCACATGTCCAGCCCCAAATCTAAACACTTTTAAACATGTTTGTGTAATCAAACGTGGATCCAAATTACAAGGACCCATTCTCCCTCTCTCCCCCTTTGTGAGGCTCAGCACCTCTAGGAATACCTTGTGTCTAAATCTCATGACTAGAAAGGCAAATATCACACCAAAGAGCACCACTAGTAGAGAGCAGGAAGGGTAGTGATAGGTGCAGAGATTAAGATAGGAAGAGAATGGCTGGTTTTCACCAATTTCATCAACCACCTGAAGACTAGGCTGACACAGGCAGTCAAACTATAAGTCAAGATGCTTAATGGTGGAGTGACCCAAGTGGTAGAGAACCTGCCCGCAAGTGTGAGGCCCTGAGTTCAATGTAAAAAGAAACAAAAAAAAAAAAAAAAAAAGCTTCAGCAATCTTCTTTATGTCCTTAAGAGTCACTGCTCACACATGAAAGTTAAGAAAAGAAATTCTCCTGGCCCTGGAGTATCACTAAATTGAATAAACTGAATAAAGATATTAACTTTACTTTGGCATTAACTAAATACTGCATATAAAGTATTAATAAGTAGTGGAATGCCATGGAGAAAAGAAGATTTGTCCCAGAAAAAACCAGCTGCTGTTGTAAACAGACATTAGCAAGATTAGACGTTTAAAGGAAGTAAGAGTGACATGTCTACTATATCCTGCACATACATCTACTTGAAACAGGGCTCTAAAATCTGCCACATGTAACCAAATCAAGAAACAAGTCACTTACCACTATCAGAGGAATCCTCCTTTTTAGAACGCATCTTTCTTTTTCTTCCACGTTTGCTCTTCTTTGTTTCTCCTCCATTTTCCCCTTCTACACCATCTGGACCAGCACAATTATCAGCATGTCTTGCCATGGTATTCTGACAAAAGGAACAAACCTGTTTCACACTACTAAAAAAGCTAAGTTCAGACTGGAAGTTCTGTTTTTTTTCCAATAAAACCAGAACTTGGGGAGTCTATATTTAAACTGAAAGTTCTGTTATCAGCTAACTATGTCCTGAATATGTTCCCTGCATTAAGGGGAAAGAGATCTCAATGTGGAACAGTCAGAGAGGGAGAAGACAGGAGAATTCCTCAGAAGGTAAGGTTGGGTTCTCTGAGGGGAGGTTCAGTAGCCTGCAGACAGGGACAGGGGAGTATCAGACCAGCTCTTAGCCTGAGCAGACCTGGCTAACACAAGCAACAAGGAAGACACAGGACAGAATCAAGCTAGCTAGGAGTGGGATGGGGTGCAGGTTTCAATTCAAAGGAAATTCCTTCACATCATCAGACTATTCAAAGATACTGTGGTCCCAATCAGTGGAAGGGTGCACACATGGACAGAAAACCTTGAGATAGGGACTGATCCTTTCCAAATGGAGTATTTCTACATTTGTAACTTCAGTGGAAATATTGCTTTGATCTGCAGCAGAAGATTAAGAATGTGATATTGGGGGGGGCGGTAAGGGGGGAGGCGGTAAGGAAGGGGGTGGGGGGAAGGGGGGAGAAATGACCCAAACATTGTATGCACATATGAATAAAATAAAAATTAAAAAAAAAAAAGAATGTGATATTAAGAACCATAATGGGAAGTTACATTCTGACCCTTACCCGACGTGTAAATGTTTTTCCACACTTAGAACAGACAAAGGCCGCAGGCACAAAATTGGGGTCATGATAGCGCTTGAAGTGCATGTCGAGGAGCTGTTTTTGGCGGAAGGTCTTGTCGCAGTGGCTGCAGGCGTAAGGCTTCTCCCCGGTGTGGGTACGCTTGTGCATGATCATGTGCCTTTCCTGAAACAGAGCCACAGCAGGGAAAGTCCTCAGGGCCTGGACACAGAGCTGCAACCCCAGCTCCATGTGGCCAACGACAGGCCTTTCTCTCACAAGGAGCTAACTCAACACGGACTGTCAAGATGATAAAGGTATGTTTATAGAGGTACAAAACTGCTTTCATAAAGTCTAGCAGAGAAATCTGCTCATCCCTGCTGGGCTACTTTTTTAAGCATCTTGCAAGCATCATGCCCCAGAATCAGATTCTTTCCTCCTCTCAAGTTGTGGATTTGAGAAAAGTTTTGAGAAGGAAGCTTAGTCAGCCTTAGAGTAAGTTATGGCTGAATAAAACATGAGCTGAAGACCCAAATATAATTAATAAGAAACATGAACTTTGATTATGATGATTTCCCTCATAAATCAGTTTGAAAATATTATTCCTAGAGGTCACCGGGCACTGGTGGCTAATGCATGTAATCCTAGCTATTGGGAGGCTGAGATGGAGACGGTCATGGTGCGGGGTCAGTCAGGCAAATAGTTCATGAGACCCCCCCACCCCATATACAAAATAACCAGGAGGTTTGGCTCAAGCTGTAGAGTGCCTGATCTGTGAGCACGAAGCCAAGTTCAAATCCCAGTCTTACCAGAAAAAAAAAGTAGCCACCATAACAGGTATACAAATACACTCTGCTAATACCTGACATGGATGGGGTAGGCATCAATGGCTTATAGCTGTGACAGATCCTACCTGTCTACAAGCATAATCACACTGGTCACACTTAAAGCGCTTCTCGTTCTTGTGTGATTTCTGATGCTGAATGAGGGCATAGCGCTCATGAAACACAGCATCACAGTAACGGCATTTCTTGCCTTGCTCAATATAGGAATGCTGCTTTCGCAAGTGGACACCTAAAAGCAAAATACAAAGTCAAGTTGAACTTGTGGAAATCACAAATAAATAAGCATTGCAACAAATTAATAATACAGTTCTTCTACTTAATAATTATTCCATGGGATATATCCATGGGATATAAGCTCAGTAGCAGAGCACTTTCCTAGCATAGAAGCCCTGGGTTTAATCCTTAGCACCACAAAGAGGAAAAAAAAAAGGACACCAAACAGCATAGCTGGGAGATGGCAATGGATATGGAAGGAAAGAAAGAAGCAATATGAGAAATCTGGAAAGTGAGATCAGTAAGAGTTACTGACTTGAACTGGAATTGTGGCTCAAGCTGTAGAGCACCTATTTTGCAAGTACAAAGCCCTGAATTCAAACCCCAGTTCCACAAAAAAAAAAAAAAAAAAAAAAAGAAAAGAAAAAGTTACCGACTATGGTATGAGGATGAAGGTGTGTGTGTGTGTGTGTGTGTGTTTTATTGAGATAAAGAATAGTGTGTATAGATGGGTAGAGGGATAGTGGAAATAGGTGAAGACCAAGGTGTGTGTCTGTTTTGCTGGGAAGGTGACAGTTTTAAATCTTCAGTTTCACACATGTTGAATTAGAAACTCAGTGCTATCAAAGCAGGGATGGACATAGCAAGAGACAGGTGGTTATGTTAAGTCTAACTCAAAGAAAGATCTGGAAGAGGAACATAAATTTTGGAGTCATTAGGACTTCAACGAGACCATGGAGCTGATAAGATCACTAAGGAAAAAGTAAAGAATAAAAATCACTGGTCACTGGTGGCTCACGCCTGTAATCCTAGCTACTCAGGAGGATTGCAGTTCAAAGTCAGGCCAGGGAAAGAATTCAGGAGACCCCCTCTTGAAAATACCCAACACAAAACAGGGTTGGCAGAGTGGCTCAAATGATAGAGCACTTGCCTAGCAAGGCCCTGAATTTAAAACCCCAGCACCACAAAAAAAAAAAAAAAAAAAAAAAAAAGACAAAGGGAGACATGAGCACATTCGTTTGTGAGGAAATATGAAGAAACGAGAATAATAATTATGCAAAGACTTGAGAAGACAGAAAGGGTTCAGGTCGAAGGAACACAGACAACAAAAGCAACACCAACTCTTTAGGATCAGGCAGGGAAAGTGAAGATGAATGCAGTTGTAAAGAGGTTAATAGGTTAGATGAAAGAAATTTGGAGTTTTAATCTGTTGCTTTTAGTTTTTGGGAAGCAGGAAGAGGCCATTTTACTGAGACATGCGAAGGGGAAAGAAAAAAAAGAGAGCAAGATAAGAGGTTAAAAGAGTGACTTCTCCAACTCTAGTTTGTAGCATGGTGCCTTCCCACATAGCAGGTACCCAAACATTTTTTTGGGATAAATGAGTGAATGAATGATACCTCTAAGGGCTCAGATACATTTAGGATCATAGATTTATGGTGCTAAGTTGTCTTAAGGTGACACCACACCAAAAAGAAGAGAGGACCAATCCTGAGGAATGGAAATGAATTAAGGGAAAGAATAGCTTTAACTTTTTACTTTCTATACTCGTTTATTAGAGCAAAATTAGGTCTGCTTTACAAGAGGGAACACAGGGACGGGGGGAGTTCAGTAGTAGATTGCTTACCTAGGCCCTAGGTTTGATTCCCAGCATCATGAAAATAAATAAATGTGGGAGAAACGAAACTTCTTTTGGTTTTGGAAGGTAACTATTATTTGATAGCTCCTAGGCAGATTAAGAGCCTACCTCATAAACAGCTTGTTATATATGTTTGTTAAGATTAACTTTGTTATGGAGCATCTAATGGGTATCATGTCAGTTCAAGGCTGGCCTTGAACTCCTGGGCTCAAGGGATCCTCTTGCTTCTCTTTCCTGAGTAGTTCGACCACAAGTGGACACTATTGTTCCAGACCTACAGTTCTTTTTTAAGTAAGAAAAACAAAGGGAGGGTGTTGCAAGCATGAAGCCCTGAGTTCAAACTCCAGTACCACCAAATAAACCCCCCCCCACTGCCAAAAAAAACAAAGGGAGAAACCTTTGTGATCAGATTTTTATGTATGGGCCACATTTAAACATTCAAGATATTTACTTGTACCATATAAGGTAATAATTTATTAAAAATGGAATAATCCAGACAGTGGCCTAATGGCTCACACAACTTCCCCCAGGAGACATTACTGATTTGGACTTTTGTTTTCATACGACAAAAATTAGCATAACCCTTTCATTTATCTGACAGTAGTTCTGAAATCTTCTTTACAGAGCTCTAATAGTAGATGGAATGAATATGTGACCCATGGATCTTACATGAAGCTGAAAGTTCTCTGCTTCAAACTCAGTTTCATTTTAAAACCAATGCTGCAAAAAGACAGGCCTAGTTTCTGCTATGACTAGGTATGCTGCTGCTGTGGCCTCGGTACTTATACATAACCAAGTATGAGAAACAGCCCAAGAGGACAGTTTTGCCACTCAATTAGCTGTGTTATACATGGTAAAGAGATGTCTCTGAGCCATAAGCCCATTACTTACAAAGTTAGACTAAGATATGCTTTGCTTACTTCATAGAGTTGTTAGGAAAATCAAATGAACAAAAAAGTAACAGAAAATCTGTAAGCTCTAACAATGTAATCAAATGTAGCTCAGTGGTAGAGTGCTTGCCTAGGTGAGGCTCTCCTTTCATCCCTAGCACTACAGAAAATGAATGAATGAAAGTATAGAATAATGTTCAAGAAAAATTGTATTTGGGGGCAGAGAACAGAATGAACAATAGTTACATTTCTTTTTTTCTCTATTGAGACAGAGTCTCACTATGTTGCTCAGGCTGGCATTGAACTCCTGAGCTCAAGGGATCCTCCTGCTTCAGCCTCCTGAGTAGCTGGGACCACAGAAGGATGCCACTGAGTCAGCTCTTTTCTTGTTTTAGGAGTGGTGGTACTAGAGTTTGAACTCAGGCCCTTGTGCTTGCTAGGCAGGTATTCTTCCACTTTCTTCCACTTGAGCCATGCCTCCAGACTTCTACAATTCTTTTTTTAATTAAAAAAAAAGGAGAAATCTAGGTGATGGTGTCCTTATGTATGAGTAACATTTACATTTTTATTGATAAACTCAACTTCTATGTAAATTCTAGCTAACTATGAACAGGAAGTTACCAACAAATTAGTAAGATGACCCAATTACTTATAGAAAGTACAAAACATTCTTAAGAAACTGAGTGGATTAACCTTAGTTTGTATCATAATGTCACTATTCCACTTGGGGAATGGAAGGTACTAATCAAAGGCATACTACTTCCTCCCATTTCAGTTTCCACTAATTTATTTTTTATTTATTTACTTTTAGAGATTTAAATAAACTATCAGCATGTTAATTGTACACAGTGAGGGGTTTCATTGTAGTATTTCCGTACATGCAGATAATGTACTTTGATCATATTCATCCCTTCTATTACTCTTATTCCCCCCAACGCTCCCCCATTTTTAAAACTTTCTTGTAAAAGTTTTCAGTAAGTTTCATTATAAAGTTTTTTGCTGTTGTTGTGAAGCACTGGGGATTGAACTCAGGGTCTCGTACTTGCTAGCCAGGCACTCTACCATTTGACATGTCCTCATTATGAAGGCGTATACATATACTTTGATATCTCTCCTCACCTTCTTTTTTCTTTCTCCTCTTTTACATTCATGTCCCCCCTGCCGAAGATCTAGATTCTGCATATGACAGAAAATATGCAGTATGTCTTTCTGAGTAGAGCTAACTTCACTTAACATAATGATCTCTAGTTTCATCCATTATCATGCAATGAATTTCATTCTTCTTTATGGCTGAATAATACTCCATGGTGTATATACCCCACATTTAAAAAAATCCATTCATCTGTTAATGGGCACCTAGGCTGATTCTGTGACTTGGCTACAGTGAATAGTGCTAGGAGCCAAAGCAAGGTTTCTTCAGTCTAGAACCAGACAGTTTAGCATTGTTGCAGAAACCTTTGAACGTCTCAGAGGCCATCTTTGCAGCAGAAGTCCTGTTTCTTAAAGAAGGGGCTGCCCTTTGCAGAGCTTATGTAGCCACTGCAGAACAATGAGTGGTGGGAAGGGGGGAATAGCATCCCATCCAGGTATACACCAAGGGCAAGATCCCAGATAAAGTGTAGGGGGTTGGGGGCCTCATCTAGATCCAGATGCCTAGACTGGGGGAAGCTTCTGAGGCTTTCCAAGAGCTGTGGACTATCTCTTAGGAATCGCTCTCCACTGGTAGTTTATGTTAAAATTAAAGTCTTCTCATCAAAGCAAACATACATTCTGAGGAGGGTCCCCCTTAATCTATATTCAGGAAAATACCTTATAGTTTGACTATTGTAAGAAATGAAAAAATACATACATATATATATATATGTATGTATGTATGTATAAAACAATGGCTTTCACTATGTGGCAGGCTATTCACATTCACAAAAAATGTAAGAGTTAGAAGGTGAAGTTATTTATGGTCCTCGTATTTCCATGAATCCATCAAAACATGTTTTTTTCATTTGCCACTAGTAAATCTACTTACCCAAATCACTTTTTCGGGCTATGACAGTGTCACAGTGGGGACAGTGAAATTTGGCCACATTTTCTGTGTGCTTCTGTAAAATGTGCATCTTCATGGTACCACTCTGGGTAAACCGAGCATGACAAATATAACATTCATAAGGTTTTTCCCCTTAAAAGGAAATACAGAATGAACAAATTAAATGAATAGATACTATGATTTATTTGAGGGTAAGTGAGATGGAAGACACTGAGGGTAACTCAGTAACTGTGGCCAGGCCACAAAGAATCTAAGGTTTTACTTGGGAAGGTTGAGGCTCAGTCTGAGTGCCCAGCTCATGCCAATCTTCAAAGATGGCAAACAAGTCATAAACCTCTGCTCTGCTACATAATCTTCCAGGTTAAAAAGAAGGTAGTTCCTATCGTAAGGCTTACCTTTGGGGGAGACAAGATAGAAGACCTACATCTTTCTCTCTCTCCCTCTCTTTCTTTTTTAATTTTTTTTTTAAAGAGAGATGGTCTTGTTATGTAGTGGGCTCAAAACTTGTGATTCTCTTGCCTCAGCTCCTGAGTGCTAGGAGTACAGGCATGTGCCACGACACACAAGTTTGTCTTTATAGAAAAAAGATAGTACTTAGGAACTGAGCATGTTACATAATCTATCCAGACTTTTAAAAGTAAAAACTCTACATTTTCATTTCATTTCTCCCTTAAAAGTACCGTTTCCATGTTATAAAAAGAATCAAGTTGAAGAAATAAAATCTACTCTCTAATGTATTTTCCAAATAGGGAATTCAGAGGCTATGCCAGAGCCTTTGTTAACAGTCTTCCTTTCAGGGGAGCAATGTGGGCATGTGATGGTTCACAAGGTACCACAGGATCCACTAAAAAGCAACTCATTGATACCAGAAGGGGAGAAATCCTACCTGAATGGGTTCTCATGTGCCTTTTCAGCTTGTATGTGTCCCTGCTGGCATAACTGCACAAACTGCACTGGAACGGACGCTCTCCAGTATGAGAGCGAATGTGACGTTTTAATTTGCTGACCTGAAACATGAAAGCAACCAAACCTCTTACACTTCTGTTAACAAAGATTATAACATGAGCATTACGGGTTAGGCACAAAAGTTTAGTTTTAGGACCCTGAAGTCAGGAAAAGTCTAAAATACATTATTTATTTGTCTTCATTATTTGTAGCCTTTGCTTCTCAGAGCTGTATCATAATTCGAGGAAAGAGATAAGTAGATACGGGCATAGAAAGGTAAAGACTGATCATCACTAATAACTATTTAAACTGGGTTTATGATAAAGTACATGGGCGTATAGTATGTTCTTCTCTTTACTTCTTTTGTGTGTGTGGGTGTGTGTGCAAGAGATCAAATACAGGGCTTTGTGTGCATGTTACCAAGTGCTGTCCCTTTATTTCTGTTTGAAACTTTCCATAATAGTCTTTTTTTTTTCTCATGGTACTGGGGTTTGAATTCAGAGCTTTACACTTGCTAGATGCACTACCACTTGAACCACTCTGCCAGCCCTTTTCCGCGTTTTTTTTGTTTTGTTATTTATCAAGGAGCAACTGAATGTGTTGGGTATTTTTGAGATAGGGTCTCGTTTTTTGTTGCCTGGACTACCTTGAACAGCGACCCTTCTGATCTCTGCCTCCTGAGTAGCTAGGATTGCAGGTGTAACTCACTGGTGCCCAGCTCCGTAATAGTTTTTAAATAATAAATGCCTATTTTACTAATTTTCTCCAAAATTCAAATTCAAGAACATGTTTTAATTCCCCAATAGTCTTTCTAATCATTAGCATTTCTTAGGGTAGCATCTAGGGTCCTCTCATTTTTCTACCTTACCAGGGATGTGCTTTTCATCTTCTGCTGTGTACCCTATTCCAAACAGACTTTCAAACTTGATTCTAAGAAGTACTTTGAACACTCACTAATGTCCGACTTGAAATATTTAAAAAGTATTCTGACTTGATGAAAAAAACTCCAGCACTCATAAGCATCATACACTCAATTTTTACATTTGGTAAGTGGCCAAAAACTGTGCTAACAGCATTACTCATTTTTTCCCCAGTACTGGGGTTTGAACTCAGGGCCTATACCTTGAGCCACATGACACCAGTCTTTTTTCTGTGATAGGTTTTTTCAAGGTAGGAGCTCTTGAACTATTTTCCCGGGGCTGGCTTTGAACTGAAATCCTCCTGATCTCTGCCCCCTGAGTAGCTAGTATTACAGGCATGAGCAACCAGCACCTGGCTCTTTATTTTTTTTTGCAGCACTAAGGGATGAAGTTCAGGTCCTCTCAAATGCTAGGCACTGAGATATACCCCCTTAGCCTGCTTTACCACATAGTTTTACAAAATCCAATAGCATGAGCCCCCCCGCCATGGTTTTCAAATTTTTTTTTAGCTAATCTTCCTTACAGTTGAAATTTATAATCAATCTGTAATCTCTCTTCATTTATTCATGTCCTTTGGGAAAATTTATAAGTTTTTCTTCACATAAACTGAACGTGTTTAAGTCATTTCATTGCTGTTAGACTTAGAACCATTTCATACTTTCCTACTACTGGAAGTACAAGTTACATATCCATAACTGAAAATACAAAATCTGAAATGCTCCAAGAAGAAAAACTTTCCTGTTGGGGAATCAACCCAGGGCCTGGTGCATGCTAGGCAAGAGTACTACCTCTGACCTATACATCCAGCCCCCTAAATTAAAAACTTTTTGAGAAGTAACATGATGATATCAAGAGGAAAATTCCACATGACTCATGTCAATGGTCTCAGTCATTACGGCTCATGCCTGTAATTGTAGTTACTCAGGAGGCAGAGATCAGGAGGATCTTGGTTTGAAGCCAGTCTGGGCAAACAGTTCTAAAAGACCCTATCTTGAAAAAACTCAACACAAAAAAGGGCTGGTCGAGTGTCTCAAGGTGTAGGCCCTGAGTTCAAGCCCCAGTACTGCAAAACAAACAAAACCCCCCAAACCATAGGCACATTAAAAACACTATGTAAAATTACCTTCAGCTATGTGTATAAGTTGTATGTGAAACATAAATGGATTACATGTTTAGACCTGGGTCCATTGCCAAGATATGTCATTATATACACAAGTATTTCCAAATCCAAAAAAAAATTAGAAACCTGAAATAATTCTGGTCCCAAGCATTACAGACAAGGGATACTCAACTTGTACATTAAAATTCTTAATTTCAGGAGACTGGACATATAGTTCTGGTAGAATGCTTACCTAGCATGCCTAAGGCCTTGAGTTTGGTCACTGAGCCCCAAACAAAAACAAAAGTTCAAAACAAACAAACAAACAAAAAAACCCACAAAAAACAAAACACCCCCCAAAGTTGTAGAATTCTGTATACTTTTTTCTGTCTGGCCTCTCCACTTAACTTGTCCTGCTCTAAATTTTTCAGCTCTGTAAGCAAGTTGTATCTTCAAGAAATGATGGTTTGTCTTTCCACTTATAACTGACTTCTTATTTTCTTCAATTAGCCAGAATTCCCAGTACAACAATGAAATCTTGTCTTGTTCTAGATTTTAATGGGAACACTTCCAGTGTGTCACAGTTAATTAGAATGGGTTTACTCTAGGTTTCTGATATAAACTTACATACAAATTTCCTTCTACTCTAAGCATGTTAGAACTCATACAGTGGCAAGTATGAGTTTGTAATATTTCCCCCCAATTACTGGATAGAAATAATCACATGGCTTTCCCTTGATGTAATGTATATTAATAATTTCATAACTGCTGAACTACCCTTATGTTTGGATATGCTCAATAATCACTTATGTTTGAATACATTATTTGATTTATTGGTTATTAATTTTATGCAGAATTTTTGCTTCTTTTTGAGAATAATACAGTTGGTTTATTTCTTTTTTTTTTTTTTTTTGGTATATCCTTATTCAATTTTGGTGAAAGAGTAGCCTCAAATAAAAGTTGACAAAACTTTTTCTTGTAGTACTAGTGATTGAACCCAGGGCCTCACGAACGATGATAGTCCAGGACCCTACCAATGATATACATCTCCAGTCCCAAGTCTTTTGATTCATTAATTCAGTATATAGTTCAGGCTGGCCTTGACCCTGCAATCCACCAGTCTCAGCCTCCAGAATGCTGGGATAAAAGTCAGGTGCTACCAAACCTTCGATTTTTATATGACCTGGGTACAGTTAATCATTCTTCAAAGTATGGTAGACCTTCCCTAGAACTCTTTTTAGCAAGTAAGTATTTCACACTCACTACCGTTTTTTTGTGGGGGAAGATTTGTGTGTATCAGTGTTAATAATCCACTGAGATTTTCTACTTCAACTTTAGCTCATATAAGGTTGTTATATCTTCATATTGGAATCATGGTCTACTTAAGAAAGGTACTAAAAAGGAGCTGGACACTCACTTCTACACTGGCATAATCACACATGGAACACTTAAATGGCTTCTCATGGGTGTGTTTGTAACGACGATGCCGCACCAACTCTCCACTGGTCACAAAGGCCATGTCACAGTCTGGGCACTTGTGAGGACGAGTACCTACATAAAGAAGGGGATTATAGGAAGAACAAGATCAAGCGCACAATTAATGATACCAAGTTCAACGTGTAGCACAGAGCTGCTGCATGAGATTGCAGCATCCCATTAGCTCTGCACTAGTCATCCCATTAGCTCTGCACTAACCTGTGAGTGGTTCTAGCCCGTTAAGGACTGGCTAAATTTACAACACTAGCCCCAGAATATGAGAACACATGCCAAAATTTAATTACACATGTGAATCCATTAGCTTTGAATACAAAATCCTTTTTATTCCTATTCTGTGACTATCCTGATCACTATGGATTAAGAGTTAACAGAAATTCCATTGTGTTTTAAACCCTCACTAAAATATACAGAATGTGGGCTGGTGGAGTGGCTTAAGGGGTAGAGTGCCTACCTAGCAAGCGTGAGGACCTAAGTTCAAACCCCAGTACCACCCCCTCAAAACCAAACCAAAAACAACAAAAAAAATATATATATAGATGTAGTATCTCTATACCTTGATGTTGTCTACAGCCATACCACCCTGAACACACCCGATCTCATCTATACCTTGATGTTTTATCAGGTACAGGTCACAGAATTAATGAATGTTTGACTCTAGATCATTTGCACACCAAATATTACTGTGTCATGTCTATATAGTCTATAGAGGGCCATGGGGCTATCTGTATTCTGAAACTTTTTTTTTTTTTTTTTTGAGACAGAGTCTCAATTTTGTACCCAGGCTGGCTACAAATATGAGAACACATGATCCTCCTGCCTGTGCCTCCTGAGTACTGGGATTACACCATACTCAGCTGAAACTTTAAAAAAAAATAGGCTAAGGTATGGCTCAAGTGAAGGAAGAACCTACCTAGCAAGTACAAAACCCTGAGTTCAAACCCCAGTACAGCCAAAAATAAATAAATAAAATTACAAACATACAAACTGTTTTATATATAAAATGTTTTGACAAGGAATTCCAGAGACTTACAAAAGCTTTACAAAAGCAACACTGCTTTGTATGTGATTTAGCTAATAATTTTTTTTTGTTTTTTTTTTATGTGTATGTGATTTAAATGGATGAACTGCCTAATATTCTGTGATCTGAATGTCAGTTCATCCAATATTCAAACATTTTTATGAACTAATCTATAAACTATCTTGATTATTTTTTCTTCCTCTCAAAGAATCTTAGGGTTTCTAATATATCCTCACATTGAAGTTCCGTAACATAACCAAGTACTTCAGTGGATCTCCAGGCACTTTATATTCTGAATATTACATTAGAAATATGCTCAATAATAATGACAATACTGCACAAATAAAGGTGACAGCGTATCACAATGCTGTTTTTAGATTTATCCGGAAACTAGTGATGATCTCTTAATTATGGGTAGCAAGTAAAGGATGGTAAAAGTAATGCCAAATACCAAAACTAAAGAAAGGCTGACTTTCAGGAATGGAATTAGGGCTGGATATTGGTGCCTCATGCCTGTAATCGTAGTTACTTGGGAGGCTGAGATCAGGAGAACCAAAGTTCCAGGTCAGCCCAGGCAAATAGTTTCAGAGACCCCCCCCATCTCTAAAATAACCACAGCCAGAAGAAAATTAAAAAAGTAAAATAACCAGAGCAAAATGAACTGGAGATGCGACTCAAAGGTTAGAGCACCTGTTTAACAAATGTGAAGCCCTGAGTTCAAATCCAAGCCCAACAACAAAAAAGAAAGGAATTAGGAGAGTCAGTGTAATTAATGGGACCGGCTATCTGCACAAATTATTTTCTAAAAGGATGAAAAGAATTCTGGAGACAGAAGTGTCATTGCCTATGACAGTAACTAAGAAATTTTAAGGAATATATGTTTGCTCATTCAATTTGCTTCTCAGCACTAGTAAGAATGTGGGAGTGAAAAACAAGAGTTCCTTCTATGAAAAGTGTATGGGTTGAGAGCATGGTTCAAGTGGTAAAATGCCTATCTAGCAAGCATGAGGCCCTGTGTTCAAACACCAATATCACCAAAACAAAACAACAAAAAGTATGGTATGGTGGTACAGATAAGTAAATAAAACAATTATTAAGAGAAGGAAAGCAGCATTCATTTCTGTTAGGACAAGGTAAGCTAAAAAATAACTTCTGGTATTTACCTAGTACTATCTAGGGAAGAAGGTCTGCCTCCATGTCAATTAGCAAAGAAAAGGACACTGCTGTGCAACAGGGATTTCCAGTAGATTGCACCACATGACCACCTATGTCCCTCTGCCAAAGGTCCTTGTTCTTCTCATTTGTTACATCTTGACATAGGCAAGGGCACCCCCTACAATGCAATCCAACTCCATTTAGGAAATAAAAAGGTATATTCCTCACCATAAATTGGCATTCTGGTGTTTGCATCTGACTCATTCAGACATGGTTAAGAGATGAGTGAATGAGTTCTACCAAATTAGCTCTGGGTAACCAGATAATCAACTTCTAGACCAAGAAGTGTCCCCACATCAAGGCACACCCATCTTGACAAGTCCTATCACAGGGCCAGCTACTTTATTATATAACTCTTTAACAGTGTCTTTAAAGTATCAAATAAAACATTATCAAGTGTGTAGGTAGAGACTAGTGTGGGATGCTACAAAGCGCCTGAGTCACATTAGCAAAGAATGCACTAATACTAATGTATAACATCCTGCTTGTAGGCCAAGAGTCACTTGATTGTATTTATCTGACAACCAGCACATCAAATCAAAAACAAGTACCATATAAAGGTAGGTAGAGAATAATGACAGAGGAAAAGCTATTCTTCATGAGGCAGGAAACACAGATAGAAGACTTTTTTGTATGAAAGGACTTGTAGCCAAGTACCTAAGCTGAAAAGACAAAGCATCCAGAAGAGAGTCTGAATTGAGGTCTGGTGTGCAATCCCTTCACTGAAACCTGGCCACAGCTAACAGGAAGCTAATATTAGACTATCTGAATACCATATTAAAGTATGTATGGTACTTGAACAAATACTTTTTTTGGCTTTTCTTTTTGTTTTGTTAATAGTGCTAGGAATTGAACCCAGGGCCTCAGGAATGCTAGGCAAGCACCCTATCACTTGAGCCACATCCCCACACCTTTTGTGTGTATACATATATAGTTTTTGGTGGTACTAAAGTTTGAACTCAGGATCTCAAACTTGAGCCACACCACCAGTCTGTTTTTTTTCTGTTAGGTGTTTTCAAGATAGACTCTCACAAACTATTTGGCTGGGCTGGATTTGAACTATCTCTGTCCCTCGAGCAGTGTTTTGTTTTGTTTTTTATAGTACTGGAGCCTTCACCTTGAGCCACTCCACCAGCCCTATTTTTGTGAAGGGTTTTTCAAGATAGGATTTCACAAACTATTTGCCCGGGCTGGCTTCGAACCCTGATACTCCTGATCTGTCTCCTGAGTAGCTAGGATTACAGGCGTAAGCCCACTGGCACCCAGGTTTTTTTTTTTTTGACATCACTGGGTTTGAACTCAGGGCCTCACACTTGCTAGGCAGGCACTCTTACTGCTTGAGCCACTCCACTAGCCCTTTTCTTGTTGGGAGTTTTCAAGATAGGTCTTGTGAACTATTTGCCCTGGCTGGCTTTGAACCACAGTTCTCCTGATCTCAGCCTCCTGAGTAGGTAAGATTATAGGCGTAAGCCACCAGCACCCAACATTTTTTGTCATTTTTGATAAAACCTCAGCAATATGATGGTAAATAAAGTCTTCAGGAATTATTTCAGGTAACAACTATAGATACTTTTATTTGGATCATATTCATTGTAATCATTTGGATTATTTCCCACTAAAGCTTTCTTAACATTCAACTGTAACTAAGCCATCTGCTTACAATAAAATTAAGATTACAAAAAGGGCACCACAAGAAGGAACTAAAGTGAGCAGAATAAACTTTAAGGGGAAAAAAAACAGAACAAAAATATTTTCTTTAACCTTCCACTGCAATTAGTTTAGGTAATACTTAAATCCCAAGTTTTAACCTTTGTCATGTTATTGCCCCCACATTCTCATTCAGCACCTGTGTGTGTGTTAAGGTGATTCCTCAGGAGGGTAACTGTTCTGAATGCTCTACCACAGAGATGGCACTTGTGTGGTCTCTCATCAGTGTGGCTTTTCATGTGACGATCCAAATTTGAACGACGTGGACACGTGTAACTGCAAAGCTCACACTGGAATGTCTTCTTTACACCTATGTGCAAAAAGAACAAAAACAAACAAAAAATCCCCCACTTACTTGTTGCAGGGTTTCAAAGGATTCAGATTAATCCCGATCTTTAATTCCTACAAATATATTTTATTAGCTTTTTATAACTAAACCCTATGTTAAAATTATTTCATGAGACTAACAGATTTACTTTCTCTTTAGGACTTAAAAACTTCTTTTGGACTGATTAAAAAGACTGGTACCCACTTAATAACTTAAAAGAAAACACATTTAATATAATATAAAATAACTTGTATATGGACAGTTGTATACTTTATTCCAAAATGGTTTTATGAGGCTACTATGGATAAATTCATTTTACCTTTCTTTTTAATTTTTGTTGGCTTTGGAGGCTTCATATTACCAACCACTTTCTCTGCATTAACCTCCGACAACAGACCTTCTTGTTGCTCTTCCTCAAAGTCGTAGACAGAGACATCTACATCCTTGCCCTCCTCTGTGTAACGCAGTTTGCTCTTTTTGGTTTTCTTTGTTTTTTTGGCTGGTGGCTGATAGTCTGGGTCTTTTTGCCAACTAGGATCTTCCTGAGGTGGAAGTTCCCCTTGCTCTAGTGTTTCCACCTCTCCGTTGGCCCCCACTTTCACCACCTGAAACCCTTCAGGCAAAGGTAAAGTGTGACATATCATGGGTTCACTTTCTGCAAGGCCCTCTTTAGACACTTCATTTTCATAAGCCCCCTGAAGTTCTTCTACTGAGGTGGTAGCAACAGGTACAGTCACGGGAACAGGTACTTGAACAAGCTGAAGCTCTCCTATATTAATGGGCTGTTCCTCCATATTTACAACCTGCAAGGTTATGATCTGGGTATCATCTACTGCAGCCTCTGCTTCTGGAGCCACTGTACCCTCCATTACTTCAGTCTTCATCTGAAGAAGGGTAGGATCCAGCTGTTCCATCATCACCATCTGTACACTGCTATTGACATCCTGGACCACCTCACCCCCATCTGTCTGGTTTTGGGGTAGGTGGCAAGCATCTTCTTCCTGGCCCCCTTCCCGGCGTCGTTGGTATGTCTTTCTCTCCTTCCCTTTAATGAAAGTTTCAGACTCCTCCACAATGGCTTCGACCGCCTCACCTTCCATTTCCCTTTCCTTTATTAAGGCAGAACAAAATTGTTATGTAAGACAAAAATTCTCTAAATGAAAACACATACATTTTAGAACAATAACAAAAAGAGATCTCTGGTGAATGAATTAGACATCAATGATTGTTAAATGGACATCATATGCCTTCTGATGAAAAAAAAAAAAAGCACTGCCTGTTTGAAAGAAAACAAAAATCTGAAACCAATCAAGCCTCTAGATCCAACTTCCAATTAACAGGAAATTGATGATAAGAGGATGTTAAATTACACAGCAAGGATGAAATCAGTGAAACCCAGTCTAAGGGAAACAAGATTAACTTCAAGTTTCTTTTACAAATAAATCATCAAAAGAAAAAATTGGGAAGGTTGGACGAATAATCTGTATGCCCAAAGTTTTCAACACAGGTTGACTTCACCTCCTCAAGCATTTGGCAGTTTTTAGGGGTATTTTTAATTGTTACTACTGGGGTGGGATGTCACTACTAGCATCAGGTGGAGATGCAACTAAATATTCCAAAAGGCACAGGCCAATCTTGTACCACAAAGAATTGTCAGAGCCAGGCATGGTAATATATACATGTAATCCCAGCACTTCAGAGACTGAGGCAGCAAGATGGCAAGGTCAAGGCCAGTCCAGGTTACACAGTAAGACCCAGTCTCAAAGGAACAAAAAGATACTAGACAAGTAAGAAACCTTAACTCTGGCCATTTGATGATATTAAAGAATTATTAACAAAACTAATCTTATACATTTTAAGGAGGATGTTGGTCAAAGAATACAAATTTTTAATCAGGATTATCTATTGTAAAACATGGAGACTATACTTAGTAACTTCAAAATCATTAAGAGAGTAGACTTTAAGTGTTCTCACCTCAAATTATGTGAGGAAATACTATTAACTCGATTTAGCCATTTCACAGTTTAGGTATTTAAAAATATGTTGCACTGTATAAATATATATAATTTCTTTTGTCAATTAAAAATTAATTTAAAAATAAATAAATGTTAGGGCTGGATGTAGTTTAAATGATAAGTGTCTAGTGTGCATGAAGCCTGGGTTGGATCCCCAGCACCATAAAAAACAAAACAAAGACAAGTATCGTGTCTCTTATATCCACTTACAAAGTACTCTAAAGTGCCTTATATTTAGAGTTTATTTGCTTTTATGGTGCTAGAGATTGCTCTAGTATTGTTCTTCTTCTTTTTTTTTTTGGTACTGGGGACTGGTTATCTCCCTAGTCCCTGCCTATTTTTTAAGCTAAATTCTACTTTAGAAATTGTGCTGTCAAACTTTTTTTTTTTTTTTGAGGTACTGGGCTTGAACTCAAGGCCTTCACCTTGAGCCACTCCAGCAGCCCAATTATTTTGTGATAGGGTTTTTTGAGATAGAATCTCACAAAGTATTTGCCTGGGCTGGCTTCAAACTGTGATTCTCCTGATCTCTGCCTCCTAAGTAACTAAGATTACAAGTGTAAGCCACCCCAGCGCCCAGGCCTCAGAAACTGTTTCTTTTAGAAAGCTTTATGGCCATGTGGCAGTGGCTCATGCCTATAATCCTAGTACTTGGGAGGCTGAGAATGGAGGCCAGCCCAGGAAAATGGCTCTTGAGACCCTATTTTCAAAATAACCAGAGCAAAAAGGACTGGAGGTGTGGCTCAACTGGTAAAGCACCAGCTTTGCATGTGCAAAGCCCTGAGTTCAAACTCCAGTCTCAAAAAAAAAAAAAAAAGAAAAAGATATAATGATATATTTTAAAAACTGCACATATTTAATGTACATTTTGATGAGTCTGGACATATGCATAAATCCATGATAACCTCACCAGGATCAAGGGTATTACCTCCCAAATGCCTTTATACAGGTAAGTTCACATTATTCACAGATTTAGTACATGTGGTTTTGACCAAGGATGGTAAAAAAATAAAAAAGTCAAAAGAAATTTCAAAAACAAAAAAATTAAATTCTTGCATGCTCATTATGCAGCTCAACTGATGTGGAGAAGATCTTAGTCCTGCATTATCGACAGTTATGTTTAAATCATTGTATGATGTCCCGGGTATTTCCCTACCTTTAATTTTGTGAACTATTCCTCCAAAAAGCAAAGTACAAGTGAATGTGCTTAATTTAAGTGATAAAGTGAAAAATTTTAGATTTGTTGAAGGCAGGCCTATGTTTAATGGAAGTTGGGACACCATCGGGGAAAAAAATGAAGCAAGCATTTGCACAGCATAGCACTGAATTCTATGCATCCAGAATATTCAGTTTTTCCTCAACAGTGGTCTCTTTGGAACCACCTTTTGCTTTTGGTGGTAAGAACATTTATCATCTAGCATAGAAGCTGGAGGTGTTGCTCAAGTGGCAGAGCACTGCCTACAAGTATGAAGTGTGAGGCCTGGAGTACAAACTCAAAACTGCCACACACACACAAAAAAAAGCAACATTTATCCTAAGAGCTATCCTCAACATATTTCGAAGTGCTCAATACTGTATTATTATTATTATCATTTTTTGGTGTCACTGGGGTTTGAACTAAGGGCCTTGTGCTTGATAGGCAAAATGCTCTGCTGCTTAAGCCACACCTCCAAGCCCTTATTATTAGTTACAGGTACTATGTTGTATAGAACTTACTCTTCTTACATAACTGAAACTTTATATATATTGAGCAAAAATTCTATTTCTCTGTTCCATCATAGTTTTTGTTGTTGTTGTTTTACTTGAGACAGGATCTTGCTATATGGCCCAGGCTGGCCTCGAACTCTAGATCCTTCTGCCTCAGTCTCCCAAATACTGGGATTACAGACTTATGCCACCATACACAGCCATAGTTTTTCTGAGTCAGAATCAGAACTTAGATCCAGACATCAATAACAGTATTTGCAGGCATCATACAACACAGCCTCCAATGTCATATCATTAACTTGACATGAGTCTCTCTCTCCCCTTAGAAGTTCCCCGATTATAAGCACCACATCTAACAAGTACCCAAGCTGGTAAGTACTCAATAAATGCTAATCAAATTGAACACATTAAAAAAACAAACAAACAAACAAAAAAACCCAGAAAATCGGCCAATTCATAGATTCTGGCTCTTAAATCTTGGTAGTACTAAGAGTACTCAAATACTCCTAAGAGTCTAATTCAAGGCAATACTTTGACCTAACAAAAAATACAAGTATATATGAGGTTACTCCTAAATGAAAACTTAAAGTGCTTTATATTCTTGGCCTGGTCTCAAACAAAGCTTTTGCTTTGTGTATATGTATGTATGTATGTATGTGTGTGTATATATATATATACAATTTTTTTTAAGAGACATGTTTCTCCAATTCTCTGTGTAGGCACTGTATTCATACTAGCAAGTCAAGAAGGCTACTTAAGCCAAGGCTAACTATAAGGCAGTACAAAGCCTATGGAGAAACAAGCAAAGCCTGGTCCTACTGTCTAGGAGTTTGTGATGAGAAAGGTTCAATGGTTCATGGTAAAATTAGGTAGGTTTGGATAAAGAAACATAATTAGGCTTGAAAGGAAAATCCTTCAGAATTGGAATTTGAATTGAATCTTGAAACATTGGCAAGACATTTCAGGAGGGAAGGAGGGAGGAAGGGAGGGAGGGAGAGGGAGAGAGAGAGAGGGAGAGGAGGAGAGAGGGAGAGAGGGAGACAGAATGTATTTTGGTGGAGAAAGGGTTAGATCTTTAGGTAGACTAAATACATATGGGAATTTGTTTTGAGAAAAGGTAAAAACTACCTTCAAGCATATGACAGGTGGTAAGAAAGGTGAATGATGTGTTGGTTGTATCCAGTCTGGATGTCTTGAATGATAAAATATGAAGAATATATATACATTGTATGGTCAGCAATAGAAAATAATTTATGAATTTTAGGTAAGTAAAGAAAGATTCACTCAAGCCAGGTGTGGTGGCTCACACCTATAATTCTAGCTACTCAGGAGGCTGAGATCTTTTGAGGCCAGCCCAGGCAAGAAGTTAGTGGCATCTCATCTCAACCGAAAGCTGGGTGTGGCATCCCAGATACACAGGAAGGATAAACTGGAGGACAAACTCTAGTACTTGGGAGGCTGAGGCAGCACTTGTCTGTTTTTCTTTCTTTCTCTGTCTCTCTCTCACACACACACAGACATACCCCCCCCCCCCCACAAAGGGGCTGGCCGCCTGTGGCTCATGCCTATAATCCTAGCAACTCAGGAGGCAGAGATCAGGAGGATCACAGTTTAAAGCAATCCTGAGCATAGTTCTTGAGAGCCTATCTCAAAAACAACCATCACAAAAAAGGACTGGTGGAATGGCTCAAGATGCAGGCCCTGAGTTCAAGCCCCAGTATTACAAAAAAAAAAAAAAAAAAAATTTTACTCAAGGCCTTGATTTCCTCAACAAAGTATACCTGTATTTAAAATGTATGATACATTTAATATGCCTCTGGTTTTCAAGGCCCCTCACTCTCTGACCCCACGACAACTTACTCAGATTTATGTCTTGCTGCACACTTAAACTGTCTTTTCACCTGAAGAGTTGGTCCCAATTCCATCTCCCTTTTTTTTGCTCGGTACTTTGTTCTTCCCATCATTCTCGGACCAGCTTGTTTTTAGCACAACAAAGCCTTCTGACGTTCTGTGTACTTTACTCTGTATGTGCCTGCTGATAAAATAACTACACGATTTTGCACTTGAAAATATCCCAAAATTATTCTCCAACTGGAAATAAATTTCTCAAAGGGAAAAAGGAACCTATATTTCTTACTTATATTTTCACAGTGCTAGGGATCAAACCCAGGGCCTCCTGTATGTTAGGCAAGCACTCTACCACTGAGCTATACCGCCAGCCCAGCAACTTACATTTCTGGACCAATTCAACAAAAACAAGGCTGATGGAAAACTTCCTACGTTTCTGGGTTGCCAGCCTGGTTTTGTTCTGCTATTATCTACTTTCCTCAGTTTCTTGTTCTCAATAACCAAGAGAAAAATAACACAACATTCAATATAAAGGTCTC